TATTAATAAATTTATTATAAAAATTTACAATATTCGCACAAAGGAATACACATACAAAGAAATATAGCAGGAATAAAATATTTATATTAATATAAATATTTATTTAATAAAATTAATATAATATATATATATATATATAATATACATATAAAAAGTGTTAATATTTTTATTTTAATCAATGTTTTATTTATTATTTTTATGTTGTTGAATTAAGTTAATAAAAAATATTAACAATATTAAATTTATTTATAAATTATAACTTGCTACGCGTTAGATTTTATTAAGTTTAATTTAATTTTAAATACCAAAATAAAAAAATAATTAAATCACATAAAAACTATGATTAATAACAAGTTAGTATATTAAAATAATTTAGATCTATTCTTTTATACTACTAATTAAATACACTTAATTTTTTTTTATTATAATCAAAGTATTTTTTTATTTTCTATTTTATTGAATTAAGTTAATAATTTTTTTAAATATATTAAATTTAATTATAAATTATATCTTCCAGTATATAAGATTTATTTTAGTTTAATTTTTAATACAAGAAAAAAAAATCTAACTAAATCACGTAAAAAATATAATTAACAATAGGTTAGTATATTGAAATAATTTAGTTTAAGATTTAAATATTACTAATTGAATAAACTTAATTTTATAAAAAAGTTGACAAACTTATTTATTAAGCTTTGTTATTTTATTTTTTTTCAATGCTAATTTTTTTATTTTAAATAATATTATACTTTTTAATTTTTAAATTTTATTTATAATAATCTCTTTTATATAAAATAAAAAGTTACAAAAGTTATTATAAATTAGTCAAACAAACGAATGCGGATATATATATATATATATATATATATATATATATATATGTATATATATATATATACACTTATGTAAGGGAGATCTTAATTCAAAACACCTGATGAGATTAGGTTAATACTTTATATATTTGGTTAGGTCCCTTCTACAGTCATTAAAAATTGTATAACTATATGAGTTGCTCTACAATTTGCTCAATCGAGAGTTATGCTTTAGGAGTGTGACTTACATAAAAGATATAACCTATCACTTCTCATAGAATTCATAAATTAAGTACAACAACTTTCATACAAAGGTAAGTCTTCAACAAGTAACCTTAAGCCTCTATTATAATTATTACTGGTATGTTTAATTATCTTTATTGTTCTAATTTCATATAATTTCATTTACATAGTTTTTCACTTATAAAAAAGCAATTAAGAATTTAAGAAAATAAGAACTTAACTCACCTTTAGTTTTTAAAAAGTTTTTAGAATGCTTTTGTAAAATTTTGATCAAAATAAATATTTTCTTATTTATTTCATGCAATTTCATGTCTTATATTTTTTACTCAGTTCAGAATTCTTTTATAGGTCATAATAATTTTATTTTTTTAATAGACAATTTTTTTTAAAATTTTTTAAGTAATATTATCTTTTAATTTATAATTCTCTGTTTTCAAAATTTTTTCTATGCAAAATAAAAAATTGAGAAATTTAATATAAATATTTATGTTACTCAAATAAAAAAAATACATATTTAAAGATATAAAAATCTATCTAATTAAATTTATTTTATAAGATTAACATAAAAATATATTTATTAATAAAGTGAATCATAAAAATAAATTTTTTTCATATTTTTAATAAAAAATTTATTTACTATTTTATATCATTTAACTAAGTTAATACAATTTAATTATTACATGTAAAATTATTTTTTAAAAAAATATTTATATATGACACATACAAAATGTTTAAAAATTTAGGGATTAAAATTAAGTGATATTATATTGACTTGCGTTAAATAAATTTTTTATTAAAATTTTTGCTTTGATATAGGTAATAACAATTGAAAAATGTATGTGGATTAACTTAATCTGAAAGTAGTTTTTCTTTAATTATTTACATTACTCCCACACAACCTAAAAATGTTTAAGTAGATGGATATGATTGTGATGCAACTGATGATAGAAAAGAAATAAAGAAATAAAGATGTTAGTTGTATGAAATCACTTTAAGAAAAAAATTATTAACAGAGAAGAAAAAATTATATACAATTATTATAACAAGCAATTGATAAGTAGAATATCATATGAAACAAATTATTTGCATAACACTATCAAATTTGTAAGAGAATGTCATATAAGTATATAAAATAATCAATCTTGTTGAGAGAACAAAAGAAAGCAGATGTATCATCCACTTATTTGAGTAATTATCACTTTAATTTATAAAAATTTAAAAGAGATCTTGCTTTTATGATAATAATTCAAGTGTATTCCTTTCTAGGGTGAACCATTTGTGGTTTAGAGTATATTCACAAAAAAAAATTAGAAAAAATCTTGTTTTCTATTTATGTTTGAACTTTATTTGATAATTACGTATTAAATATAGGTATGCAGATACTCAAAATATACAGATATAAAAATTAAAATTATTACCTAAACGGGTATAGAATTAGGCACAAATATTTTTTTAAAATACAGATATTAAAATAGTACTACAGTATCCTACACATAGCCTATCTAATGTCATTTGTAGATATATAGTAGAATAATCGTATTGACATGACTTATAATTGAGGTTAAAATTTGCTTCATCATGGTCAACTTCTTGTAATTTAAAATTTAATTTGATTAGAATAAAAAAGCAAAATCGTGGCGCTGATGTGTTTTTAAGAAATCATGAATGGTAATTAAATGTTTCACCTAAGTTGTATATAAAAGAATTCATTAATCCTAAGTCTATAAGTGTAAAATTGAATACTAATAATATAAATAATCATAAAATCTCTTGATTATAAGAGATTAGTTAATTGGTCTAACAATACTGATGAACGCTTAATTTTATATGATTAAATTTTATTTATTTCTTTACATTTTATAAATATTATGCAATTTTTTTCTTGCAAATGATACTTTCTACACAAATATTATGCACTTTTTTTTTCTTTTTTGACATTTGTTTATTTTTTCATTAAAGATTGTTATTAAATGTTTATAGAAGAGAAAGAAAATTCTTCATTTAAATGTATGAAAAATTAGAATCTTAATCATGATTCATTCTATCTATCCCCAAACAAAAAGCAATAACCCTGTTATTTAGTTTCTTTTTTTAGCAACGGAATATTAATAGTATTCTTCTTACAGATAATTTTTATAATGCTTTATAAATTATTAGGACAACGTTTTATGTCTTTTTATATATGAAATAATTATTACTATTGATTTTATATTAAATATATAATAAATAACAAAAATTAGTAATTTATTTTAAAAATATAATATTTAAAATATTAAACAAAATATAATCATTAATTAAAAATATAAAATATTTTCTCAAATTTACAAACAAGTAGCAATCGGATTATCAATGAAAAGGATCGAGGCTTGTTTGTTGCAGTGTGTACGATGGACTCGATCTATTCTGGTGATGTCTTACGCCGGTTTCAAAGGAGTACACGATGTTGACCAAAATAAATACTACTACACGTTCTTGGTGTGACTAATTACTGTTGACCTAAAAAATTTTGTGAAGGTGATTAATTAATATTAAATATTTTTTAAATTTAATAAATATTTTTTATTTTAATCAAAAATTTATATTTTTTTCTTAACCTATACATTTAATGCATTAGATGTAAAATTGTTAATAAACTTTAACTATGATAAAAAGTAAAAATCATTTAAGCTTATTTATAGCAAGAATTTAAAAATTGTTATAAAATTTTATGTTAAGATATGTTATTAATATTCATTCCATTGTAATCAATAATCATTATTTTTTCATTAATTTTTTTAAACTATTAATAAGTTATATTTATTTATAAATAAATTATTTTATCATTATAAATATTTTTTATCTTTGATTTTATTATATTTTTATAATTTATAATATTTTTTATTAAATTTTAAAATATATGATTGAATATTTTATATTTTAATTTAATTTAATCGTACAACGCACATGTTAGCTAGTTACATTGAAAACAATTTTTTTTTCTTTCTCATTTACACATGCATTTGATGTGTATAGAAAATGTATTTAGTAAGAATAATTTTTTTATATGAGAGTAAGAGACATAAATATATTTTTATTTTATTTTAATAAAATTTATTATTAAATTTATGAAAAATTTATAATTCTTAAAAATTTATTAAATAAATCTTTAAATAAGTTAACCATTTACCTACTATGAAAGCTACACACCATAGTAAGATACGGTTATAATGAGATAAAATATAAAATATCAATGATATAAATTATGCTTAAATTCACTGAATATGTTATTTAATTCAAGGATTAGAAACTAATCTTTACCCTTTTATTGACTAACATGACATTGTATTTTTGAAAAACTAATTGAAAAATATTGATTTTACAAACAATATACTTTTATAGTAATTTAATTAAAACTTATTAATAATACATTTTTTTATATGATTACCTAATCATAAATTATATAACAATAATTTTAAAAAAATTTATAATAATTAATTTTAATTTATATTTAATTAATCAATAATATAAAATCTTTATATGTATCTTCTAGATTATTTTTATACAGTTTAATACATAAAAAAAAAGCTATAACACAAAATATTGGGCCCCACCTCGTGGAGTCCCCACGTGGTTTCAAAACCATAGCTGCCATCAATCAGACGAAATGGCCAAAACATTCATAGCATCCGTGTGGCACATGTTCTTCTTCCTTCTCCGTGTAGTCTTCATGTTCAAGTCGCGTTTTAAATACACATAAAATTGGGTACCCAAATATTTGTATCATCTTTTTAACTATGCACCAACATTCTTCAACTCAACTCTTCACACTACCACACTTTTCCAATTTTCACTTCTTAGCCAATAATAGAAACTCCCTCTATACACCCTTATACTTGATCTTTTTCACGAAACACCACAAGTACGTTGTATTCCATAGTTATATATAATTAATTATATACACCCCATATGGACTTTGAGTATAATGAATGTCCTAATTTCACTTCACAATCATCATCATCCACTTTCATAAGCCATAAACTCTCAGCACCACCAAATCCTACTCCATTATGGGATTCATCAAACCCACAAACGAGTAATAATATTTCATCAAAAAGAAAAGCAGGGAGAAAGAAGTTTAAGGAGACTCGGCATCCAGTGTATAGAGGTGTAAGGCAAAGAAATGGTAACAAATGGGTGTGTGAAATTAGGGAACCAAACAAGAAATCAAGGATATGGGTAGGGACTTACACTACACCTGAAATGGCTGCTAGGGCACATGATGTGGCCGTGTTAGCACTTAGAGGAACCTCAGCAAAGTTCAATTTCCCTGATTCAGCTTTTCTTCTTCCACTTCCAAACTCATGTTCCCCTTCAGATATAAGGGCAGCAGCAGCAAAAGCAAACGCTACCTTTTCTTCCTCTCATAACAATTCTCGTGTTGTGGATACTGAAGACCCTTGTTTGGTTGAAGGGAATAGTCACAAAAGTGTATTGAATATCAGCATGCAAGATGTGGAGGGTGCACTTCATCATGATAATGATGCATTTTTGGATGAGGAAGCACTTTATAATATGCCAGGTTTGTTAGATAGTATGGCAGAGGGTTTGATTATTACCCCACCTTCTATGACTAGAGCAATGGATTCGGAAGATAATGGTTGTCAAATAGACCTTACTCTATGGACAGACTAATTATTCTATATATAAATAGTACATGTATTAAATTAATATATGCCCTTAATCAACGACACAAAAATAGTACACTGTCCTCTTTCTTCCAATTTTTTTTTTGAAAGAACTGTTCACTTCTTTAAGGTACCGTTTGGTCTCAAGACATAGAAATAATAAAAGACAGAAATACTAATGTTTATGTTATGTTTGTGTATTATGTTTGAAAGTAAAAATAGAATATTGTGTATTGCGTCTTTAAATGTAAGAAATAAGATAAAAAATAAGCGAGTTAAAGATAATATATGTAATTTTATATGATTATCAGAAGTATTTTGGTCTTTAAATGTATAGCCTTTGTGTCTCTTTTTCCAGATTTCAGGAAGTACACTAATATCCTTTTAATTTGTCTTCTTTGTATCTTTTCATGTATCTGTCTCTTGAACAAGGCACTAACTAAATATGATATGCGAGCATCTATGTTTTTGTTCCATGTCTCTGTTTCTGAACTAAATATTACCTAAGTGTGAAAAAAAAAAAATCAACATTGATTCAATGTAAATGTATCAATTAATGTCATTTGTGCTCTTTCTACCAATTTATTTTATTTACCTGCATTTGTACTAAAACCCACATTCGATAATTCTAAATCTGTAGCCTGCCTTGGGAATGACATTTTTGTTTTGTTATTAGTGACCTTTTAGATTTATAGAATTGAACTTGAATTTGTAGGGTTCACCCGTGACTGATATACGATTATTAATCACTGAAATCAAAAGTATCCTTTTTTTTTACTAACCTTTCTTTCACTTTGAGGATTTAGTATACTATATATGTATATGCAATTAATTGGCTATTGGGTCTTAATTCTGTAAGTACAATTCTTCGTGAGTTGAGTAATGGAAAAAAAGAGAAACAAACATCATCAATGATTGGGAATGTTGCAGTGTGATCTGTATAGAATAGGAATGAAAGTGTGTTCCTTGAGAGAGAAGTGCTACAAGAACTTTTTTTAACACATTGTTATTTACTAAAAATTTAAAAAGTTATGTACGTCCCACATTTACTTTAATAATTTTCACTTAAATTTTATAATATTTTTTATATTTTTGTAGTCTTAAACAAATTTTATTTAATAATTAAAAACTTATTAAAAAATATGTTAAAATAATGTGTCCCTAAATGGATAAAACAAAAGATGGTAATTACTTTGTTTTTTTTAATGAAAAAAAAAACAAAGAAGGAAAAAGTATAAATAGTTAGTTATGTATGTTCTTCTGGAAAAAATAAAAGAAAAAAAAGGAAAATATTGATCTTTAAAAATGTTTTATTTTTTATTTTTTCCTTAATTGTTATTTTCTTTCCTTCCGACCAAACAAATAAAGGATAAAAACACATAGGTAAACATGTTAGTTAAGTTCCACATGAATTTGTCAAACAACAATATTAGAATGAAAATAAATATTAGAAAAGAAAAAATAAATAAAAATGAAAGATACAAACTAAAATTTAAATTAATTCTGAAAAATATTAATTTCACAAGTTAATATAGGATATCCTAATATTCCAATGTTTAACCTATGAGAAAAATAGGACCATATTCATGAATCATTTTGCAAAGTTGATACTTCTCTTTCTTTTTTTGGTCCACAATATTCCTCTTCTTAAGTGACACGAATTCCCTTGCACTTGTTTTGGGTCGTGAATGTTTAACTTACACTGTTGTTTGGTTTTTCTCCTTTGGGCCCTTACCCTCTTCTTTATTTCAAAATCTGTTACCTATGGCTATGGATCTTTTTTAACAGTTATAGATATAGACCAGAAAAAAATTGTAGATGAAAGTGTATTCTTTTAAGTTTGATTATATTTCGTTTCTTTAGTTTCAATTATATGTAATTTTAGTTTTCTTTTATGTTTTTTCAGTGTAAATTAATTTTTTTAATTTTTAAAATTTACAAATACAGTTCCTGTTAATTTTATTAACCTAAAGTTCCTAATTTTTTTTCTATATTAAATTGTTTAAATTATCTTTTGAGATTATCCGTTTCAAACATCGTAAAATTAAAAAAAATCAAAATTTCCCTCTTCAAACTATAATCTCATATCTTTTAATAAAATCTTGTAAATTTTATCAAAATTTTACTGTTTTTTAAACTTTTAAAATTATTTTAATGTTCTAATTTCATTACAAAACCCAGAAACTTGGATAGAAAATGAAATTTTGAGAGTCTTAAATATAAAAAAATAAAATAATGGCGAGTGTATAATTTTAGAATTTGAGTTATAGCGATTACCAATATCCATCTTAGGTGTCTTTTTATAACATGTGGCACAAATTATACAAGTCATTACTAGAAAGTATTTTACATTTATAATTTAAATTTAGTTAAAAATTTATTTTAACGTAACATCCTTTAATGTTATTTTATCAAATATTAAAAAAATTACAAATGATATTTTGTTGTTATCTATTTTTTTTAAAACTCATCCATTGTTCTCTTAACCCTATCAAACCGATTGGGGCATTACAAGCAATGTGATTTTATTTTATGTGTTCAAGACATAATTTTTTTTTTATAAACCCTCTTAATTATTAAATTAATTATTTTTATATTTTTAAGACAATAACTGTGCATAAAGTTTTTATTTAATACTTTATAAAGTAGTAAAAAAAATATTAAGAGAATAAGCAAGAAGATATAATAAATGTCAATAACAAAAATTAATATTATTTTAACATTTAAAAATAAAAAATGAAAATAAACATAAAATTTCTTAGGAAAATGAAGGAATATTATAAAAGTCATGGAATTGTTAATTACATGCTTCTTGTAACTTACTAACTCATGTTTCAAACATTAAATTTCCCTTTATCACTCGGTCAAGCTTCACATTCTTAGCTCTGAATAAGATGCATGTGTGGAAAGAACTCAAAATATAAGGTTATAATCACAGAAGATCCAAATGAAAATAAGAGATTTTAGTTTTACCCACAAATATTTCCACTGGTACACTGCAATAAAAAATCTGTTTCTCTCTGAAAGTAATTTAGGAGTAAACATAGAAGTCTATTCTTGATTAAACGTGTCATCAATTATTGAAATTCTGATTATAGTGATAAGAGAAACTTTTCTTAAAAAGTCAACACAAATAATTCAATTCTATTAATTTTTTCTTGTTCGTTAACTGGTGATTAAGACAGATTAACAATTGCATATTGGTCTTATTAGAGCATCCATTATCAAATAATACATTTCTTTCTGACATTATGACATATCATTTCATATCCAGCTAAATGTGTCTATATAATATTGGAAACGTGACTTGTAACAATACACTACTGAAAATTCACATAAACGGTAAAGCAAAACATTGTTAAAAGTTAAAATAAAATAAAATAAAGGGGGTTAATTCTAGGGCTATTCAGATAGACAGTGAGAGCAAAATCAAGATCAAAGTGAGTGAGGAACAGTGTCGACTATTCTGAAATTTTATAGAAGTTAAGCTATCAGAGTAACTTCTCATTTACTTATTTAAAAATAGCAAACTCATCCAAAAGCTACTTCCTAACTTTCATATAATCTTTTTATTGTTTTAACAAATTGGCAACTTTGATTACATACTATATGAGGGTGACTTCCAATGATAATTCATAATTGGTTCAAGAAGTATAGACTTGATTTTCTTTAAACAAAGTCTCGAGTTCTAATATTGTAAATGAAAAAATTATCAATAAAAGAATTAACTCTACCATGTAAATGCTTTTGACTTAAACAGAATTGACTTGTGTGGAAAATACTTGTGTTTAGACCAACAATACAAAGTTTACTTTTCCATTAGAACTTTTAAAAAATTGACAAATAAGGTGAGAAGCCCCAATGTCCCATGGTATAGTGGAGCAAGTGTATTCTAATACAGTTTATTAAATTGAGTAAAATAAAATATATTTTATATGAAGTAAATAGCCATGTGAAGACACGTCTAGCAATCTGAAATTGCATGAGTTGATGAAAACCACAGAGAAATGAGAAAGACCCTAGAAGTTGAGTTAAGATTCCTTAACGACAAGTACAAGCATTATGTCATGCATATATTAAAGTTCAATAATTTACCTTGGTGTTGCACATGGCAAGGACAAAAGGAATAGTCCATTAAACAGCACCATTTTTCTGCATATGCTAATAGAAAAAAGTCACTGAATGAAGGAAAGAGTCTGCCACATACATTATAATAAGTGAGGCCAACCCATAACCCAAACTTCTAGAGGGAAATGACACCAAGGGTGTGTCATTCATGTGCAACAACGACAATTGCATTAGACAATTTTAACTGGCAATGTGGGTAAGAAGCTGCACACTGATGGGTCTATATATGAAAAGTGGTACCTTTCCTAATTTTGAGCCGTAGATTCTGTCTCCTAAAACGTTTTTGGTAACTGATTACTACCAACATTGCGGTGAAACCGGTCATGAAGACAGATAGTGACTGTAAGAGTTGACTGGCTAATTGTGCATATTGTAGGTTTTGTGCATATATATTTGGCTACTGGGGACTGGTTTTGTTCATAGGAGTTGTAGTGTAGCCATGGGGACTTTCAATCACTGTGTGATTATTAAGTTCAAGGATGGTGTGGTAGTAGAAGAACTCATCCAAGGGTTGGAGAAGATGGTCTCTGGGATTGAGCATGTCAAGTCCTTTGAATGGTATAATCATATAATATATGAATTTGCTTTGTTTTATGATAGTTATATTGTAGTAAAGACTACATAATCTTTTAGCATATTTTGGGCATCCATAGAGTTTCCTGTTTGAATACATAACTTATTTAAGCAGTTTATTATAAGGTCTTTTTAAACGATTACTTATACTATAAATTGAACGATAAAATTTATTAGAATAAACTAAAAATAACTTATTTTATTACAAAGAGTTTATTGAAACAAGATTAAAAGATTTTGAGTCAATTCTCATGTGCTTTCTATATTATGTTTATGTGTTGTATAACAGGGGAAAGGACATTGAAAGCCAAGATATGCTAAGGCAAGGTTTCACTCATGCTTTCTTGATGACATTCAATGGGAAAGAGGAGTTCAGTGCATTTCAGACTCACCCAAAACATGTTGAATTCTCGGGAATATTTTCACCTGCTATTGAGAAGATTGTGGTGCTGGATTTCCCATCTAACATTGTCAAAGCACCGGCATGATCCTCAACATATTCAAGCAATTGAAGTTTCCATCTTTAAAGTGTATGCATGTGTGTGCATCCGCAATTTGTAGTCTATTATGGGTTACTCCTAAAAGTTGTTATGCAATTTAAACTTTATAAGCTCGTTTTTTCCCTCCTAATTAATGGAAAATTCTAGAATTGGTATTTGTTAATACTAATTCACTCTATATTTCTACTGCCATTTGATATGTATCAGCACATTCTAGAGGCCTCCAATCTCCAGAACACACACACAGATTGTAACAAAAAATTATAAATAGGCACTCTTATGCTTTGTTTCTTTGCCTTGAAAGGATAATCATGTTTTACACTGGGTGTGATGAATGTGAATAATATGAGCCCCTTGAATGAATGATTTCTATTTGCTTACTGAGGAGGAAGTTGTGAGTGCTAAAGTGTGAAAACATTATCATCTATCAAGGTTGCTTACTAAAGTTATTTACTCAAGAGAAATTTGGGTAGGCAACTCCAGCACAGTTTCGTGACTGGTTGGACTTTGGTACTAGTTAAGTCATATTTTCCCAAAATAGATTCTGATTTTTACTTTTTAGTCAAAATCAGATCATTTTTGCTCTTTACTCTGGTTCTTTTTTATTTTTCACTTTTTACCTATTTCCCATTTTGGTTACTTTACTCAGCGGATGCATTTATCTTTAAAAGAATAATATTTTTATACTTACTTTCCTTTATATTTTATGCCTTTTTTTATTTATCTATTTTTTTTCATCACACCATTTATCATATTTCTATTTTCTTCTTTGTTCCTTTTTCCTCTACTTATCTCTTTAATTCCTACCTCCATTTCAAACCCGATTGAGCGGTGTGAAAATATCATTGCTGTAATTTTTACTCTCAAACTTTGTTATATGAGTATAGTGTCTCTAGTGGCATGGGTGGTAACATTGAGTTGAAAGAGACCAATCCAACTAATATAACGGTATGCAGTTTTAAAGTATGTTCATTTAAGTTTGTTAATTTATTTTACTAAAGATGTTTTTATAACCATCTTAAGATATTTTACTTCATCTGTGATATATGTTTTGTTCTGAAATGTATATATTTTTATCTTTAACTTAATTTTATCATAACTTACTATATGAAAGCCTAATTTCTTACACACACATATATATGCACGGGCCTTCTGAATTCACGTCCTACGTGAACAGCTGCATCTTCCACATTTTGGTTGCTTGATTGACACATTGAACATTTCAATGTTACAATAAACAGCTGTGGTCAAGACCGAGTGAATAACATCGTTTGCCTTGCCTAAAAAGAGCCTAAGCACCAAAGCAACTTTTTTTTTTTAAAGTGAGACACCAAGCAACTTTAGTAGGGCAGGAAATGATGATTATCAATAGTGAAAGACATTTAAAACACTTTTATGAAGGATGGCCTTATAAAAGTTGTACTCCATGTGGGAGAGCAAATCACAAAGAAAGCTTTGAATTTTGAAGCCTAGGATTCCTTCTCAAAGCTATGTGACCTTTTCTCTAGTGACTTAAACTAAAGGAAGGAAAAAGACAGTCATTAATCAAGCCATGGGGCCAACTTGTAAAGTGATTTGGAAGTAGTGTTTTCTCGAGTACTTAAAACTAAGATTTTCCCATCTACTATGATCCTGAAAGAAACCTTATAGGAATCAAACAATTAAGCAAAAATTTTATGCATTGTTAGAGAAAAGGGATGAACATCAAGCCATTCAAGAAACTCCATCTTTTTCATTCTTTACTCATATTCAATATCATATTATGTTCTTCTATACCCCAAAATAATCATGTGAACTACTGTGAGAATATCAGAACTCAAACACCTTTCTTGAATTCAAATTTTTCTATATTTGGGAGCATTACCCTTTGCACCTCTCAGAATCTCTACTTCAGAACATCCCTTGGCCTTTTTGAGGTTTCATCAATTGACTATACTGGTATATTACTAACCATCACTCACTCATCTTGTTCCTCTCTCCAATATGTTTCTCCTCTGGCTATCACAGCTGGTTTTCCTTCTCCAGAACCTAACTCACTTGTTCTCTTCAATTGCTCAAGTAGAAAAGAACCAATTTTACCATTCATGAAAAATTGTAGAGACTTGTATAAATGTGAAGGTGCTACTTCTCCATCTTTTAGGACTCAGGAGCAAGAGAAATATCCTTATTCATGTTTAGTTGTTGAAGATCTGCAAAAAGTGGATAGTGATTTTCATCCTGAACATTTGAACTGTTCTCATTATAGTTGGGTGCATAGAAGTACATCACATGGTGGACATAACAAAGGATATAAGGTGGGAACAAGGATATCTGTTGATATTCCACGTGTACCAGAAATTTGTAAAGGGTGTGAAAATCCTAATGGAAGCTGTGGTGCTGGGTTGAATTGTTTATGCCACCCAAAAGAGTGTAGTAAGAACCTTGATCTTTTTCATGCACAAAGAATTTTATTTTGGTTGTTATTTGTTTTGAGTTGTGATGAAAATATGAAATGGCTTGATGATTCTGACTCGGTGATTGTGATGATAATTTTGCAGAAGACAAGGTCATCTCCAAGGCTATGTCCATAAAATCTACTGGTAGTGTTTTTTCCTCTTTTCTTTCTTTTATTGGTTCAGTTACAGTAGGCTTCTTCATGTATGTGTAAGGAAGCTTAATTATGGACTGAATTGTTAGGTTAGAGCACTTGTTAGTTGTACATATATCATTTGCTATATGCATCTAGTATATATAAGGATAAAACTTCAATGTAATAGCATACGTGTTTTTGGGTGTTACTCCAATCAAAATTGAAGTTTTACCTCAGTAATCACCATAATCAAAGTTGGTGCTGATTTCTGATACGTAACTAATTTTAGTTGAAGACAATTACTTAGGATACAGTACTTCAGTTTTATCCTATATATAATCTTTGAATCTCATCTGCATATTGTACTTATGCCCAAAACAGTGATTGACACTGCTTAGTCCTGACCAAAATGGATGGTAATAAGAGTATTGAACACGAACCATCTATTTATCTGAAGAATTTCAGGTAAGTGCAGATTGAAACTTTGTTAGGAGTGGAAGCTGAAATAATCTTTCCACAAATTACATGTCCAGGGCACAAAATATGTAAAAATCACACTAGAGAACGCAGCTTTCTAATTCTGAGGAAACTATTGACTAAAAGTTATCTTGCACAGGAGAATTTCACTGCCCCAATCAGACTGATTGAAAACACAAGTGTCATTCAAATCTGATCTTGGCAAGTATTTGTACATAACATCAGCTAAGAATGCACCAAATACAGTTATTCCTTATCAAAATAAACGCAAAACAAACTTAGGAAAAACCGAGATGATTACTCTTAATTATCATATCCTTAATGACAAGTATTACAAAAGAATCAAATTATACTCGCAATCATTCACTAGCTAGCTATATCTCCTACTGCAGAATCTCCTTCATAGCCAGTAGCTACACAAAGTAGCTTCTGAATTAGCTTTATATCTTGTAAAGCGTGAAATAGTTGCTGTTCTATATGATCTCTTATGCCATATCAGAAACATCTTATAGACTTTAGTTATAGAGTGGAGAATTTTTTTTTTCCTATGTAAGAGTTGAATTTCGGCCTAAGAAAAATGTGGTACAAAACCATTTCAGAAGCATATTGGGGATATAATACATGCACCGTAGTTGATCTAATGATTCATATTGCCCTTACTGTAATGCTAACTGAAACACACTTAAGGCCCTAACAAAGTTTTCTTCTGTGAGAGATCTATAAAAATAACTGAGACATGATGAAATAGTAATATTAATGTGTCAAAAATACATGCTTAATCATACGAATAGCAACGTAAATAAAGCTGCCATATCAATTTACATTGTAGAGGACAAAAAAAGCACAGCAGTGGATGACAAAAAGTACAATCACATGGAACAGTCATAAATTAGAATAGTTACCTCATAACAATGTAAACAGGAAAATGAGGGGCAATCAAAATTAATCACTTAAACTATCAAACTTGAATAAAACATAACAATGTGATATCAATGTAAAAATCAAGTACAACCACGAAACCAAGATAAGAAAAATGAAGTAGATGAAAAACAAAACATAAATTTACCACGATGTTTTTCCACGGAACAAGGCATAATTCAATTCGGTAACACTCATTCTTTAAAGAAGTGACTAAATTATTGCGTTCTAATCTCTCAATTATTTTGTATAGATAGAAATTTTTTTATGCAAAAGGTACATATTTATTATATTAAAATTATAAAAATATAATAAATATTTCTCTTCTCAAATAAGATTTTAATATTATTAATTGTTTATCCCCCAATCTTTAAAGCTGAGATTAACATTTTTCTTTCTTTTTTTTTTTGGTCAATTAACATTTTCCTTATTTATATTAATGACATGCCGTACCCTACTTCTAGTTGGGCCCACTAGAAAACCAATCAATGTTTAAAAAAAAACTTGGCCCACAACTACACATTAACTATCCACTGGAATGGAATGGGCTTTAGGCAAAGAGCATGTGACAAGTGGTCTTGGACTCAAATGTAACCCAGGCCCCACATCCTTATGCATACAACGCTTCCTTCATTTCCCATCATACTTAGTTTTCCAAGCTGGCACAACAAACCACTATAAATGCAGCCCTAAATTTACTTTTTGCAGGTTAAATATTAATGTATATATTATTTAAAGCACTAAGAACTAATATTACTTAAAAAAATATTTTTGATTAATATTATTTAAAATATATTTATTTTTCTAATAGTATAAAAATTATTTTTTATAAATATATATAGCTGATGTGGCAACACGTGTTAGGTGTTAGGAAAAGAAAAGCTGAAGCTGAGCAAACCCAACAAAAGCTGCGTTTAGACGTTTCCAGATGATGGTCTGGTCATTTCATTGTAATTTTCAATATTATCCCAAGAAACCTTCCAAGATAAAAATCCTTGGGTATGAGTGAACTACTCATAAAGCTTATTACCATTTTAAAAGTTGTAAGAAAAAAGCTATTAATTAAACAAAAGATTATTTTTTCTCTATAACTTGCACCTAAATCATGATTTGAGAATTACGTGGGAAAAACTAAATACATTATTAGTCTTAAATAATCACAAAAATACGTTGTGAAAACTAGAGTATATTCACCATGCACCCTATTTTAATCTTGTTTTTCAAAAGATAAAAGTGAAACCATTCCAAATATTTTACAAGGCATAAGCCAAACGTACACAAATGTTTGCCAGTCTCATCTTTAATTTATTTAAAATCAGAATTGTGAAAATAAATGAGTTAGTTCTATAAAATTAAAATTAACTATTTATTCAAGTTTTCTTTTTTATTTTTGGTAAGATGGAAAACAAATGAAGAAGTAAAAAACACAAAAAATAAAATAAATCAAAGCATGAGAGAGATTTAAAGGCTTTAATATAATTGTTAACGTTTTAATTTGTTTTCAAATTAATATTTATTTATTTTAAACAATAAGTTTTTTAATACAATTTAAATAAAATATTTATTAGATAAGGTAAATGAATTATCAATATATATATATATATAAATTCAACACAAAATATAATTAATAAATTAAAATAAACAGAAATTCAAAATGTGAATCCAAACGTACTCATAAACTAAATTTAATTCACTTTTATAACGTATTACCACTTGACTATTGATGCAACAGGGTGATGCAAATTTAAACATGGAATGCAGATTAAAGTGCATAAATTATTTTACCGTAATAATCTCAACTATTAATATATTTTTTCAAAATAAAATATTAATAAAAAATATTATTGAAGTGCATAAACAGGCTAAAAAGTAATGTTGTCAACTTCAATCCAACTAAAGAGAGTTGGTGAACTGCCATAGCCTTAAAGATAGGGACACGAAGGAGAAGTGGGATACAGTTATGTTAATTGTTAAACACAGAACATAGATAGACTTAAGGGTAAACAATGATGTCAAATCAAATTTGCATCCACTTGTATTACAAGAACTGACATCATTGTTAAAGTAAGGGTAAACAATGTTATGTTATAGCCTATGAAAACATTGGTTGTATAATTGTTATGTTAAACACAGAAATAGACATAAGGGTAAACGATGTGTGTGTTTCTGGGGGTATATGTTATGAAAAAAATTGCTTGGAATTTTAAAGTTAGGACTACACTATTCTCATGAATGGCAAGCAAAGAATTAAGAATACACATTTTGGGAAAGTCACATGATATTTTGATGATGTGTGTGCATATATATAACAAATAACTTGTCAAATACTTGTAGAGTTCTCAAAAAAATTTAGATGGTTATATAAAGTTGCTCTTACGTTTATCAAGATGGAACGATGGATTTTCTGGGATTTCGATTATCTTGAGTAGACAAAATTTGAAACAACTCATAAGCTATCATGTTTTAGCCAGAATTGCACAAGCACACACCAATGCTCTTGTGAGACACTTTAGTTGTCAAAGCAAAGGTAAAAAAACAAGCCATCCAATTTGATCAACTTGGCACCCGAAAACATAAAGGCCTCATTAAAAATCGTGTTGTTAGAATGTTCTTTCTTTTCTTGAACTTAAATCTCATAAGTTAGCACGTATTTGTTTTAGTTAATTTTATTAAGATAATATTTTTATAAAAAAAATTAAGAAAAGCAGTTACTTTTTAAAGTGTGGCCTTATATTAGTTAATAGTTTGACAAAATAATTATTATTTTTAAGAGAATTTTTATAAACTAATTATTATTTTATAAATAATTCATAGTCATTGTGTATAAAATATGTTATGTTCTGCTATAGATATAAGTTATATACTTTTGGTTTTTCTGTTTTCCTAAAAGATTTTTTCCACATTATTTTTTTCTAACCTAATCCACATTGCTTGGTTGACATCTCTGACTTGCATACAGAAAAGGAAGGCATCTCTAATTTTAGTCAATATAAATGATTTTGAAGGGTTTAGGGTTTAGAGAGGGGGAGCCAAAGAGGGCCACCACTAAGATAATTATAATGGTCCATTTTATTGGAAACAATTAATTTATTTTTATTGATAGATATAAAATATTGTTTTTTTTTACTGATTGTATAAAAGGAATATTTTTTTATTATAATTTTTATAAATAGCTCAAATTAAATCTCATGTTTTCAACTACAACAACTACTTGCTATAAGGAGAAAAATGTGCCCTAAACCAAATCAATTGTGAGATAATATGCACATGTTAGTATAACAAGGAAGTCAGTTCATTATAAATCAGTGATTTGCTTCTCAGAAAGTCAGAATCTGGTTTCAGAAAATGCCCATCCTTTTCAACTTAACCAAGTGATAGCAAACCTAACATTGATTTTTCTAAGATTAGTGGAGTGGCTAAAACTCTACTTTTGAAAAATATCAAAGACTAAAGCAATGTATTACATGATTAACTTCATGTGCAATAAAAATTATGAATATAAAATAAAAAAATATTAATAATATATTCCTTTTTTTCTAAATTATTCAAACATTTAACATAACTGTAAAATTTGTGTGTCTAACGGTACATTTTTTAATAAATATTTTGTAATTAATTTGTTTTTTAATAATAAATTAACTTATTAAACAAGTGTTTTTGTAATTATATTATATTTTAATAATATATAAGTTGATAGCAATTTTCCAACTTTTAATTAGCGTACACGGTCTTCTTAAAGAGCGTGTGTAAGAGTTTTTAATAACTGAGGAAAGTAACATCCACCAAAAGAACCTAACATGCAAAATCTGTACTATGATTATGGACTTCTTACCTTCTTGCCATCATCCTGACACGAAGCATAATGGAAGAGCACTCTTTGGCGAGAAATAATTATATACTCAGTCAAAAAGATAAGGAAATAGAATTTAAAGATGATCCTGTTCGTAAATAGTGATGCTTAAGACATCTTTCCACTTTATTTTGAACAAATGTGAAAGGAAAAAGCAGAATAGTGCCCAGAAAAAGTGATTCAAATCGATTTTTTGGGCCATATGTTTCAGTAGAGAAACTCTTTAGTTAGATAATTGAAGAGTTGTAGATTATATCCAAAGCAGATATGCCTCAATTTTGCCAAAATGATCATTGCTTTTGTCAATGTTACCAATTTCTGTTTTTTTTTTCTTCTCACGTTCCTTTTTCACGTCTTGGACCTCATTTTTTTAAAAAAATTCTTTATCTTTATCTCATAGTATCGTTTTTACAATTATTATTTATAAGTACTTTAATAGTGTCATTATTTATTTGATATTTTTTTATTACATCTATTTTTTTTAGTCTTTTTTGAAGAATTGACATTCCAAAAAATATTTATCAGCATTTTCGTTTCAAAAATTGTTTTTGTAAACACTATAATGGGTTTCTACACCTAAAAGTTGAAAACAATAAAAAAAGAAAAAAGTAATGCTGCTTAAGTATTTATAAATCAGAATTATTTCATTTATCATATCTATTTTCTCACCCTCTCTTTTTTGATGGGTGTATATACTTGGATTAATTTCAAATGAACATTTCCCTTATTTTAACAATTCATGCACCCACAAATTAGCTGGTAATCATTTGTTTCTGGAAGTGAACTCGAGAATTTGAGGGGCCAAAGAGTCATAAACACATGTCAAGGCATCTCAGGACAGAGGAATAGGCCATCATAGACAATCAAAGGTTCCACCACGCCAGTAAAGACAAGCCGATTATTTAAAATGTTGGAGCGTGGTTTGAATGATTTTGATATGACAGTGACTCAACCAAACCAAAGCTAATTTTCCCTCTAAAGTTGTTCAAGCTTCAATGCTCTGTAAATTACTCTACTCTAGCATTGAATTGTGTTTGAAGTTTTGAATTGCTATATGAGAAGCAAATGGAAAGACATCATACCTTGTCGTGTAATGTGACTCCATTAGTTGGACGGTTATCATCAAAAAAACATTTTTATCTTTTAATGAAAGATTATGGTTAGGACATTGGTCATTCCATCCATAACATTCTTTATGTTTATTTCCTATAAAGGCCTGGCAATTCAACATGAAAATCAAACTTTCTCATCCATTACCCGTTTTGCAAATTTTCATTGACGTCCATGTCATTAAACTGAAAAGCTTGTTTGTGCAGTGCACTCTCTTGGAGTTCTAATCAATTTGGACATTTTCCTATGACTACATGCTTTTGTTTGGTTGATAAGAAAATCGATATTGGACACTTCTAGTAACATGCAAACCAGTCAGTTCCACACGGGTCCAAGGATAAACGCAGAGAAATGACTCATTTTTCTGCTATAACTCAAATTTCTAAAAACTCTAAATGATTGTCTTTCTCTTTCCTAGGATAAAAAAGAATGAGTATATGTATCCTTTCAAGAGGAAAGGAAAATAAGAGTTAAGGCAAGGAAAATAAAAGAATAAGAGATTAAGACAAAGAAAGAAGTTACAAAAATTAAGATGAACAAGTTCCCTTATGAGCTCTTACAGGCATAGATCAACAAGGAGAATTCAACTGTGTCTTTATCTTTCTGTGCAATCTTCTCCTCTAACCACAACCTGCTATCCATTCCACTCCTGGTCCTGAACATGAACACTGCATATCCAGAAGCAGGGTTGAAGAACCAATCATGAACATCCCAAAGCAAATCCACCAACAACCCATCAACAAAAATTGTTTGATTACCCCTAAAATTCCACTGCAACCTCTTCACACGAATCACTGTCTTCTTATCAATGCACACAGAAAGAACAGGATACTTGAGCCCTTCATTTTCCACACTGCATCTGATCATAACATCATGCCACGTGCCAGTGTCACAGAACTGAGCCTTAGTGTTATAAAGGGTGTTACCTGAACAATGTTCCCTTCTTGATACAAGTGAAACCTTAGCCATAGGAGTGCTAGTTTTGAACCTCTTGGCCACAGCTTCTTCAGCCATGTCACCAAGCACCAAACCTATTTCTGAATCAACAAGAATCACAACATAAAACCCTTCAACAGGTTCTGGTCCAGCATCATACTTGGCATTTGAAAGATCCCACATGACTTCAATCTTTAACTCATGAGAAGACTCTATCAATTTGCTACCCTTTTTCTTCCTGAAAAAGCGTGAATTGGTGTTGAGTCTGAAGGGTGAAGGGTCTTCATCTCCGAAGCTTATGCTGAGTCCTTGGTTGGAGTGGCTCTTACACCAAGTGACGGTGATGAGAAAGTGCTTCAGCGTGGAGAGAAGTATTTTGTAGACACTTGAGATTGAGTTTTGTGTTGAAGGTGCAGCGGTGGGAGAGATGCAAGTGTTGTTTGAGTAGCTAGAACATGAGTAATAGTGAGACACGTTCACTGAGTTCTCGCTGAAACAAGAAACTATGTCTCTCATTTTAATGCATAAGAGTGCTTGTGAAGGGAAAGTGAATACAAAGATCTGAACTTTTTGGAGAAACGGGTAACGGGTTGTTCTTGTTTTCTGGCTTCTACGAAGAAATCATGAGCTCTAAGAACCATGGAGAGAAGGAGGTTATGGTTGCATTTTCTAATCTCTTGGTTTTACGAAAAAGGGGGAAACTCAGAGGAAGAAGACTTGGCAAATCGGTTTTTCTGTCAGGTTCATTGCCATTTTAACATGACACAATCTCTCTCTCATATTATAATAACAATTTTTTAAATTCGCATAACATTTTATAAAAAATTATAAAATTCAATGCAATTTAGTACTTTAATATTATTAAATGACACATTTTCAATTAAAAAAAACTATAATATATAATTTTTTATATGTTGCATAAATTAGAAAATTTTAAGTAATAATATGCATTTTATTCATGAGAAGGAAGAGGTGAGAAGATTGAGGCAGAAACCTAAGTGGTGTGGTTTTTTCAATGTGATTTGCCAGTTAATAACTTAATGGTGCAATTTAATAATAAAGAAATGAAAAGGAATGAGAAAAGAAAAAAGGAAAGTTGCCAAAAAAGTTGATCCTCTGTTTCAGCACTAGTTGTCACACGATCATGTTTTTCTTTGAATTTCATACCTCGGATTTGGTGATTATTAATAACCTCAATTAAGGAGAAAATGTTACGAGCACTTTATTAGGCACAGGAGGCGTTAGTGGTCAAGAATGAAAAAAAAAAAAAACGGACATCAATAAAAAAGAAAAAAAAAAAAACAGAGGAAAAGAAAAAACAGAGGAATCCCCTTTATTTCTCTCTCAACCTTCCCTTCTTCTTTTCTTATATTAATTTCTAATGTTACGAGCAATTATTATGTGAGTTTCGATGCTTTGTTAAGTATTGATCGACGCTTCTTAATACAAAAATATTCAGTTTTGTCGGAATCCTTTACGAGTTGTCGCATTCACTCCCATTCTAACTTTTCATTTTTGTAAACGCTTGTCTCTAACCTTCAATTTTTTTAAAAAAATTGATTAGAATTATAATAATCTTAAAATTCTTTTTATCTAACATAAAAAGTATTTTCAATTTAATATATTGGAATCAACAAATTTTAAATAAGAAATATTTTATATTAAAATTTAAATTTAACTATAATAAATAAAAATATTTTCTCAAACGATGACTTATCATTGTTAGTCCACCCTAAGGTGATGATAGCACACACAAGTTTCAACATTTTTTTAGCATGATAAGCTTAATAATAAAATTCAACTAAAAATATAATGTCAATTTAATTATGAGATTGCAAAAAAAATAAAATCAAATGAAAACAACTTCACATAATTATATTCATAGTATTTATATTTTAATTTATGTTATTTTATTTTTTAAAATTTTAATCGTTTATATTTAGTTCTTGGAGTGTTTTAATTGTTTAAATTAAGTGATTGACTAAACTAAAACTTTACCTTATATTCAATAAAAATGTGATATATACTTAATTTGTATAAATTTATATAAAATATAAAATAATTTAATATTTTTTATTAAATATTGTTATACAGTTTTTCTTTATCAATTCATTCAAATCAAAAGTATATTATATCTCGGTTATGATTTTTTTAATTATAAACTGAAATTTTAATAAAAAAATTAATTTGAATAATTAAAAATTAAATACGAACAATTAAATACAGAAGAGTTTTTTCTTTATAGTATTTTTACTTGACTAGAACAATATTAATTTTAATGAAAAATACTTATAGTATAAGAAAAAAAAGTATACATGTAAATCAACTTATAAAAATTGTTTAAACTTAATTTATGATTAATTTGGAATTTAAATTTTAATAAATAAAACTATATTAAATATTCAAAGAAAGAACTTTATTTCCATAGAAATTTTATTCAAGCCAAATAAGATTATTTCTAATAAAAAAAATACATATAATTTAGAACAAAAATAAATTATACATCTATTAAAATATTAAAACAAAGAATACAATTAAGTCAATCAACTTTGTTTAATAATATATATCCAAATAACCAAAATTCATCACTTAATTACATGGTTGAATGATAAACAAAGAAAAATAGTTATTCAAAAGAGTATATTAAGGTTGTAAGCTCTTGTACATGTCAAAAAGATCAAAACATCGTCATTTGTACCTTCTATAGCTATATATACATGAAGTATATACATTAAACACTAGCCCTTACTATATTGATGGCTTAACCAAAAAAGTTAATTACTCTTCATCAATTTCAAAAGTCTAATATCTGTAATCTGTAAAGAGGTAAAACTGTAATAAAATCATTAAATGAGAAAGAATGGATAGGGAATGTGGATGTGTGATAGACAACATGAAACAGCGCATAAGGAGCATCATTACTTTCTCATGTTGAGGTACAAATGTAAGGGCATGTTGTTTGGGTGATGGACCCCATAAGGTCTGGTCCTGCTTCGGCATCTTCTACCTTCCTCCTCATTATGAATCAAACATTCAAGCTTGCTTATGGTAAACGTAAAGATTCTATACATGTAACTGCATCTACAAATTACACAAACCGTGGAAAAGAAAATGTTGCTTCTCTCCATGTTCCCAAACACTCTAAAAGCATCTTCTAATACAAAGCTAGACTAATTATTTTTAGGTAGAAAAATAAATAAATTAGATACTCTCAACCAACAAAGACTTATTATATATATACATATACAAGTTTTTAAAGGCAACTTGGAAAGAAATTTTGTGAGGATATTGGTGCTCATATGTACAAGAATTTTAGTTGATATTTAAGGGAGGAAAAGGAGAAACTATAAAAGGTGAATGAGAATGCATGCTTCTTGTGAATTTCCTGGCTTGTAAAGAAGGCATGTTAACTTTTTCTTTTCTTTTCATCTACATTTTTAACTTTTCCCTAACAGAGTGGAATAACCAGATTCCTTATAAACTATACGTTTCTCTTAGCTACTTACAAATTACACTGTTAACACAAATTCCTTAAATTAAACAAGAGAAGCGTTTCAGCTTGCCCACCAAGCTAATTGAAACTGAGAAAAAGGGGGGCATGTCTTCACTCTTCACTAAGTAACCTGAAAATCCCTTCAACCTTTTTGTTCTGTTAATTAGTAGTCCACATAGCTAACTTAATCTATCCCAGCTTAGGCCTTTACTTTTAGAAAGTTCATGGTAGTAGCTGGTAATAATATAATAGAGACCAAAGATCCACAGTAGGGACTCATGAATCAAATCCATATGCTATGATTAACTAATTATAATCTCTGTGTCACAATTATATATATAACATTGCAAAACAATAACTTTAGTTAGTATATGTGACCCCAATTCGCTCTTCTTTTTTCTTGAGAATTTAATAGTAGTGGCTCAGAAGACTAGTTGGATCCCATTGTTTTCTTCTTTTTCTCTTTTGATGCTAAAGATTAGTTGCGTTAAGATTCTAAAGGATGATGCTATCTAACTAAACGCAACGTGAGGGTGACAATTCAAAAGGGTAGAATGGAATCCAACTGAAAAGGAAATTATTGAGCCTTGGCCTTATGTAATACCAAGAAATTCTCCCCAAGGACATCTTTTCCTGACAAAGGTAAATAAGAACTTTCTTTTGACAAATAATATACCAACTCCTCTTGTTTAGTTTAACTTATATTAAAAAAATTATTATTTATTTTTGTTAATTCGTTAAAAAAATAAAAAGTAATTACTTATCTAAATTTTTCTACTATTAAACATGCAAGTATAACCCAAAAGTAAGCACATTAATATAAGGTCTCATTGTGTTTACACATATAGAATTGATCTATCTAGCAAAAAAAATTGTATTTAAACTCTACCTTATACAATTTTTTTCAGGTCAATGACAACAGTAAAAATTAAAATTTGACTTTTATATTTTGGGTGTTTAGAAAAATAGAGCTTATAGTTTATCCTGTTATTTATTTATTTTGAATTATGAAACTTGATGGAAGTTGTTACCTATCAGCGGAAATGTAGGGAATTGATAGACCAATTGGGCCAGCCAGGTAGCTCGTGAATTTAACCTTTTTCCCCACTTTAAATCAGGTTCATATATTCAAACTTCAAACCTCAAATTTACACTTTTTCAAAAAGGAATATTAATATTATGCTGAATGTTGACAACTAACAACTTGCACCTGATTAGAATGATCAAGGGACTCAGCAAATTCACCTATGCAAATTTTTCTTTTGATTATTGAACACACTCTGCAAAGTCCCCATTTAAACCGAAAAGTACAGAACAATTGGTATATTTGTGTTTTGCATTTTTAGGACATGCCATTGTCAAATAATTTGACATGGAATTTGTTGTTATCTTAAAACTAGGGAAAAAAATGTTCTCTTAATAATTGTGTAACAACACTGAATTATAGATATTCTCACAAATTCTGAAATACAATTAACCAATTTACGATGTTACTAACAATGCTCTCTTCTCACAAATCCTGACTGTTCTCATACATAATCATCAACTAAAACACCTCATGTTTGAACAAACAGTTTAAGCTATGATTAAGTCACCCTTCTTAATCTTTTTTTAACAGTACGATCCCTTCTCCGGGATGGGTGGGGAGGAAGTGCAATTGAGGGGGAATTTTGTCTCTTGAGGCATTAATTAGCTCTATAAGAATTCTGCTTCTCTTGCAACTTGAGTCATCATAGTTGTGGTACAAGAATAATGCATCAATATAATAGATTCGAAATAAAATATAATAAAACATGTTTTATTCTCAAATATTATATAGCCTTGAAGTTTATCTTGAAGTTTGTCCAATTCTAGAAGTAGCTGCTTGTAAAATCCATCAGAAGAAATTGCTGTTTCCTGGATCGTACAGTAATTCAGTGGATACTCCAATGTTGAGTTTGGTTAACGTTTATGGTTATTGAAGTACTGACAAATATTAATGTTTTATACTAAATCACATGGACTTGAGAGAGTACAATTCCATCTAAATGAACTTCAGCTTTAATGTGACATTCAACGACACAGTTGAGTTCTTAACTAAAGATACTGTTACAGAGGGCCCATTTTTGTGGGGGATGCTTTCAATTCCCCACAACCCACGATTTTAACTTCCAACTTAATTAAATATATCACTGTGGATGTCATCCTTTTCATTAGATAAAGAAATATTAAATCTATAAATATATTTTAAGATGTTAAACATACATTTGTTATTAATATGCTTATTAAATATTACTAAAATTATTATTATTGTTGTTGTCACAACCTTTTAAATATGTCTATATATGATGATGACTATGTAATGTCATACTAGTGTGTAAAGAATAATTTTATTAATCTCATTTTTTAAGAATCATTTAAACTAATTTTTTGTAAAATATATATCTATATATATATATATATATATATATAATGTAATAAACATTTTATTTTTTAATAAAAGTTATTATCACTGACTCATTAAACTCAGCTGAAATTAACAAAATCGATAAAAGAAAGTTTACAGCAGAAAGAGGAAAACTTTTTCTACTTTCAGTGGTAATGCTAATTAACTTTTTAAGCATTTTCTTTAGGTATACGTTTGTCAGAATATCTACCGACATAATTAGGGTGTTGCTAGCTATGATTTCTAAGAGAGGAACTTCTGAAAAAAGCTGACTAATCAACTGGGTATAAACTAATAAAATTAAGGATTTAGAACAATTAGTTTCGGTTTTAAATTAAAATTAATACATGTTTGTTTGCCTATGCAATTCATTTGTTTAGATATAACATACAATTGACTTGTTCTTAATCTCATGTTACTAGCAATTGGTGATCATGACAAGAAACCAAGCTGAATTAAGTATCTAACTGTGGGTGTCATCTTACTACCAACCCAGGAATGGCAATTTTTTTGGCCCATGCCTTTCTTTTGATAAATATTTTAAGGAACATATAGAAAAAAGAAAAATTATTACATGAAAATCATGTACAAAGTCAACGTAAATATTATTGACTAAATTTCTCAATTTTTTTTTTCATTTGAGTTTAGAACTTCCTAGCCAAGATCCATATGAAGTGGCGGCTTTTGTTTACCCTTATGAGTTTCATTAAATATTCTATGTAGTATTATTAGTAATAATCAAACTAAAATGACACCTCATCTACTCAAGCATGTGCAATTTAGTATTATTCAATCTCCACCAAAGATGAGTTAGAAAAATGCAGTGTAGTACTGAACATGAATAATTAATGAATCTCTCTTTCAATGACAATTAAGAAAAAGTAAAATTCTTGTTTTAGATGGGATTTTGGGTTGTTCTTGGAAGTTTGGTGGAGAGTCCATTTTCTTGTTAAGATTAACTTGAATTAACTTTAATTGATGAAAATGACACTTAAAATTCCAGCCGTACCTTTCTTCCTTCAAAATCTTGTGTCAGCATAAAAGATAATCTAAATATCATACTGACAATGTCGGAAAAATCAACAACTAGTTTCCGTGTGATGGGACGGATCAAATGATATATTCAATCATTGAATTTGAATTATGTAAACTTAATAGAGAGACCAATCCATAGTTGGATTCATGTTTCAACGATATGAATCAACATTTATTTTATCATTATTACTGTTATTTTGTGTTGAATTTACTTGTACAGATTTCTTAATGTATTTTTAAAACAAATTGAGTTGAATATTTTTCATGTCTACTAATTATGTATGTGCAATGTGTGTATCTTGTCTAAATTCACAATCTAAGGTAACTCAAAGGATGAGGATTTCCATTGTTTCATGAAAGTGACAAATTCTATCTTCTAAAATCCACCTTCTAATTGCAACACAATGACAAACTTTGCTCTTAAAAAAATTTGTACAAATTTATGCAGCCAGAGAATAACACATTAAGATGCCTTAACTACATTATTCAAAACGTACAACAAATTGCCGCTGTTAGTCCTTTTCCCCTTAACAATGGGGCAATGGACGATAGTTACATATGGCCTAACGTTATTATTCTCCTGGTTAAAAACATATATCAACCCCTTTAGAGGGGAATGTACAAATTGAAAAATATTTTGCAGTTTTTAGTTTACTAAACGAAGTAAAAGATAATCAAATGCGATAAACAGAGTATGAGGGCATCATTACTATTATCTCTTTCTTTTTAGTCAACTTCAAGGAGGATAGCACATAGACTAAGAAACGTAATTATTATTCTTTGCTAATTAATAGTTTAAAGGTGCTTATTATATAATCAATAATTTTTTTTATAAAATATTATAGTAAAGTTATATTAATAATATTTTTTATTAATTTTTTTTTTACTGATCATAGTAATTTTATCTGATTCGAACAAGATTATATCAAGTGAAAGATACATGTGATATATACACAAAAAATAATTTTTTTAATTAAAAATTATCCTTTTACTCATGTAAATAAAGACAGATAAATTTTTTTTCTACATGTAAATAAATAAATAAAATATATGGAGAGAAATTTATCCTATAATTATGAACCATATTTGACTTCACACTGCCTATGCTAAGATCTCTGCTGATTTATAATCAAAGTGCTAACTTTTACTTACCATAATCAGCTAAGTCTCACCTGCCTTAGCAGGGAAGCTGAGGCACAAGGTGTGGGATGTGGTGTTTGGTGTACGGTTGGGTCCAATAAAGGAGCTCAATTAAACTAATTAATACCCCAATTAACCTCTGTGTGTGTGTTTGGACATTATTTGTTAGTAACTAATAATTGCAGTTCTACAATTTAATCTACTCATCAGGAATATTGTCAGAAAACCCTTTTCTTTTTTTGGTCGAATGTCAGAAACTATCAATCAGTCTTGTTTCTTTAATTTCTGGAATCGCGAGTGTCAAAAGCAGGCCCAAAATACTGCAGACTCGAAAGCCCCAAAAAGGAAGTGCAACAACGTCTAAGGCCCAACACATACACAAAAAATCATATACGGGTATAAAACCCGTTGTCGTACATAACAGAATATAGTAATTTTAATAAATAAAGATACGAGTATTTTACTATTATTTTTAAATAATACAAAAATCATATCAAAATTTGTAAATTATTATTAACATATCTATAATAAAAAATATTTTCATATCACACATCTTATAAATAAGGATAAATAAATTTAATTAAATAAAAATAAATACAAAAAATTGAAAATAAAATAAAATAAAATAATTATTAAAAAAGTATCTGTATAAAGAATTAATATTCTTATATCACACATCTCATGAATAAGGATAAATGAATTTAATTAAATAAAAACTTGTCATCTTAGAAATAAAGTGATCTAATTTAAAATATAACTAGCTATACCTGAAGTCGCACCTAGTCTAATCAAAGTCATACGTATGTGGTATACAATTATTTAAAAAAATCATTTTGATAAATTTCCAAGCGTATTTAACATGTATCAGTACTCCATACCTACTGACTACGGGTGCGTATAACAAAATAAAGTCATGATTCAAAGTTAGTACCAATATTTAAAATTGCTATTGGCAAGGAAAAATACAGAACAGATGACAAAGTGATCTTGGATGATGGGTATTGTGAACTGCACCCATCACACTACCTTGAAGTGAAATACATCAGCAGGAAGGAAGAACCGTGTTGTCCCATCCCAGGTTACCTCACTGAGACTAAGATATCATTTTTGCTATCATGCCTTAAAATTTCAACAATCATGATCACGTTGAACCTCTGAAACTCGACAATGGGATGCTGGGTGTCATTTCAACTAAATATTAGAAATCACAAGTTTACAGTTAAAACTCTTCACCATCCTCTGTTGATCTGGTGATAGGGATGGACCATCTCCCCAAATGTGCAGTATAATTTATGCACCTGACGACACCTCTGCCCTTAGGTCCATCAGGGAAGTCAAGGACACTAATGCTCCCTGCATCAAGATGAAATGATCCCAACCAGTCTTTCGTCAAATTAAGGCAATGCCCCATTAATGCTATGTGGATCGCAGCATGACCAACTGCAACTACAACTTCTGACCCAGAGTCATCAGATATTTCATCTAACAGGGATCTCCAAGCTTTTCCAGATTGATCCCATAATGCTGTTCTCAGTCCACCATCAACTCTATTTAACCACCCAGGTTGAAATGGCGGAAAATTGGATTTATCCTGCAATAAACAAATAAAACTTTAGATAGAACATACTGACCACATAAATTGTTCACCAAGACACCAAGCTTTTTTATTTAGTACCAAAGTGGTACCAAACACTTAGTGAAACCTTTCACTAGTTTAAGTTCTTAGTACACAGAGAGGTAATAATTTTCTTCTACATTTCAATACTTCTAAATCATTTTTTTATCTACATCTTCAATTGGTACTTAGCAAATTCTTACGAACATTGCTTTGTCAATATTATATCAGTACATGAAACTGCATTAACTAGTATGGTCCTAAAAAATGTCTACAAATGATTGATCGATGCTTCCACATTTAAACACATCCAAGATGTAAATTACTTGCCATTTCAGATTGTTTGAAGATAGCTTCAATATCAAGGTTCCCCATCTGCTTCATTTCAACATAACGTGGCACACAGTCAGCACCCAGGCAATCTGCTGCTTCTTGCACCTAATTCATGTCTAACAATTATATTAGAGCAGGACAACAATGAACAGAAGTAGAAAACCCATGTTCTCTAAGTACAGGCACATATATGTACAGGGAATTACTCATGTGAGAACATTAGTTCTTTTGAACATAAGAACAAGTATAGTTGCATGTTCTTAATTTATGATTCTCACATTTTAAAAATGAAAACTATTTTCATTTCAAATATAAATGTGAGAACATTTAGCCTGATGGAACTTCCTGGAAAGTATCAAAAGTGAGCTTACCTTAGAGATGGCCACGGCAGTCTCAACACAAGCTTTGTTAGGACTGCTAATTATGGAATTCACTTTCAAATCAAGAAGTAGCTCTGCAGACTTCTGAGACTGTTATACATGCAAAAGGTCAGATGAAATAACATTGCCCTCGTATTTTTTATGATTGGATGCAGTACCTGTATGACACCAAGCATGTTCAACGGTTGATCACCAGTAAAAGGAAAACCGTCCTGTCAACACAAGGTACTTTGTTAAGAACCTGTATGTGAAAAAATGTATTTGGAATAAAGCTCGTAGATTTTGAGTGGAAGTACAACTCTAGACCGCACAGTCCGCTCTAATATCATGCCATGAAACTAATTATCCCAAAAGCTTAAGCTTTTGAGTGAAAATATATGAATGGTTTTACATCTAACATTTTCCATTTTGATGCAAATTTTGGTGTAAACTTCTAAAAATATTTGAGTAAACATCCATTTTGGTCATATAACAATCACTTTTGTAAATTTAGATTTATTTCTCTCAGCACCTTCCACCATACTTCCCATTCTAGCAAAAAGAACGTTTTGCAACTTCTATTGGATAGTAGAATGAGTCATGATAGCACTCGGTAAACTACTTAGTATTTCAACTAATATTGCTTGGGATATGTACAAATGTACTTCGCTAATAATAGAAAAGAAATAACTCATAAAGGATGGAGTATCCCTCCGCATATCAGTTATAACTTTCACATAAATGGAAAAAATAAAAACTCAAATTTTAGAGTGTTAGCTGATGATCCTTTGAACAGTTACATGTGGATCAAGTGTATTTTAGTCATTGCTTCATACCTCTATATTTCCTTGTGTGGATCCATTACAAACAAGTATGATTCGCCTTTTTGTATCTCTACCACTAGATTTCCCACCAGCAATAGGTGAACCAGGAGTCTGCATTAATAGTTCAATTCTTTTTAAAGGACAGCCTGAACTGTTGGACATATTGCAATTTGCGATAAAATTAAACATTTTTGTTTTATAAAGAGGGAATAACACAATCTGCATTCATATCAGCTTATAATATGCAGCTCTGTCATGGGGATAACAAAGCCAATCCCTCATTTAAACTCAGCTAGTCCATTTTGTGGTTCTTTTACCCGGTAAATGTACACCTATATACCTGATTTAAGCGGTTTAGGCAAATATGTGGAGAGCCACCCTCAGATCTTGGGATGAAATCCAGAACACTAACACCACAATTGCTCTGAAGCAAAGTTCTGAAATACTCGGACCCCAAACCTGGTAGTTTGAAATGGAAGAAAAAGTGAGCATGTTATTCAAATTGACACACTTTTGATCTTCTCATCATCAAGATTTCCTCAGAAGGAGAAACAGGTACCAATTGCTGTGGCAACAAGAGCCTGATTAACAGCATTGTGAGCAACCACAAGAACAGACCTGCTATCATGAGCTAAGATTTTAGTCCAGCAGCTTTTAGCACGCTCCCACAACTCTCTAACTGGATAGTGACCATCAATGATGAAATTTGCCGCATCCACCTGCCATTGGCGATAAGCAGAACCAAATCTCGCTTTCCCCTCATGCTTCAACAGACCCTATAAACACAAACAACAATGACAAGATCTGTCACGCCAAGTCACAAAGCCATAACTTAGTAACCCTATTATAGTCCTTAAAAAGATAGAAGCCTATTCAATTTGGTACCTTACAGATTAATTTTAACAATTTCATCTTTCAAAGTTCAAATTCTCAATATTATAATCTTTCCATCCTTTATATAATTTTTTTTAGGATTGCTACTTCAATTAGAAATATTTGAAGTCAGGAGAACAAAGTCAAATATGATGTCATACTGGTAACTATGGAAAGATGAATAGATGATATGAAAACAAAATGTTTTCTTTTCTCGAATCAAAGAGGCCTTAATAATTTTGTATTTTCATTTTTTTTTTCACTCTTTCATGTACAAATTTTAAAAAGGGAAACCCAGGTAAAAATAATGGTCTGAGAAGATTGCTAATAAGTGCCCTGAAAGCTATAAAGGCACTTTTTAAAAATTTGAAAATAAATGAATTTATGAAAAAAAAAAATACTATCACCACACTCTACCATAATTTCTAATATAATCCAACCTTGATTTATCATACTCAATCCATTTTTTTTTATTTATTCGCTCAAGAGAATAACATACACATAAAGGAGTGTAATTTAAAATTTTTATTACATTCAAATTACAGTTTTGCTACCACAGCCGCAAAGACTGAATTTAAACAACAAACAGTGGTACATTTATAACATGGACTGATGTTAACAAAGTGGTTAAAAATTATTATCAACTTTCTAACATTCCCTCCACTGTTAGCAAGTCTTTTTTTTTTTTTTTTAAATTATCAATTAGAACAAAAATGAAAAAAACAAAAGCGATAATTGTGTTAGGGTCGCATACTTGAAAGGAGTACAAATCAATTTCCCTCAAATCAAAATCCGGAATGATGGGTTCTTGGCGAGGTCCCCAAATGATTTCAGCGGTTCTCTTGGATCGAGCCAAAGGACTACATAACAACAGTAGCAGCAGCAACAATGAGCACAAAATTCAGAACTAGCGATGCCAATAAGAAGAAAAAGAAGAAGAAACCTCGAAAAGCAAGCATCGAAGTGGTCATCGATGAGCATTTGGCGCGAAGTCTCAGCCTGAGACTCGCCCTTCTTCGTCAAAACCGAGAAATTGGAACTTCCTTGGATCCTCCCTTCGGCGTTCCATGTGCTCTGGCCGTGCCTCACCAGAACCACCCTCTTTGCCGCCCTTATCGGAGGAAATGCCACCGAAACGCGCAGCTCGGAATCTAATTCACGCTTCTCTTCTATCTCCTTCACGCTGCTCAAGGAGCATCGAACGACGACGTTTCTGCTACGGTGCGGCGTAGGATGCAGTTGATGAACGCGCACTGGAGAACCACAAGGTCTTGCCACCATAAACATCTTACTTCGCCACTGTGCTTCCGTTAGAACTATGCTTTTATATATATGGTTCCCCTTGCTTCTATATCGCTCTGCGTGGAGGGAGATGCCTCCGGAATGACACGTGTCCGAAGAACCAGGGCTCTATCTCTTACAGCACGTGTATAAATTTCTTTGAAATAAAAATAAATAAATAAACTTACAGGATCTCCCTGTGTATTTTCTTATACGTTTGGTTAATCCGTGGTGGGAGATCGATATATGTTAAGTATTTATAATATCAGCAACAACAACAATAATAATAGTTTCATATTTAAAAACTGTTACTTCTAGTATCGTAACTATCATCTATTCACTCTAACTCGTTTTAACTGTTTTAGCTCAGAAGCTGAGCATTCACGACTCGTAGCCTCTGCCTCTGCCATAGTTATAAGAAAAATGTTAACAACATATGATCTTGATTAAAATACAATGCTGAAAAGATCTATGTTCTACTAATAGAATAATTAGTTAAATTATTCTCTAAACAAAAATGCAACATTAATTAAATTAATCCCGCGAAGGACAAAGATTACATAGAAGCATTTAACAGTCAAATTAGCTCTTGAATGTATATTTCATTAATCAAAGTAGTTATTTAATTCGTTATGTAAGGATTAATTTGATTAAAAAAATTATACAGTCAAAGACCATTAACATAATTTCCATCATCCAAGGACTGCATAATAGACATTATATTTTAGAGACTAGCTTAACTATTTGCTCTACACAAATACCAAATGCACATCTGGCAGGACAAGTAGTTCAAAACATACTACATAAAGTTTTATCTCCACTAGTTATTTGACCTATGTACGTTTTAGCAATTACTAGCAAGTTAACATTTGACTGGAGAATTGAATACTCATGAGATACGACACGTCCAAGGAGACTTCATGATGGCATCATACTTCTGTTTTGCTTTATATAATAGTTTGCCATTTCACGGTATCATTATTGTCAACAGTCAAAATTTTTCTTTCAAAATAATTTCATTCACAAAACTGATGAACGATGAATCAACTCGTAAGTTGGGCCTTAGAAGCGACCGAATCCCTATAAGGCACAAACATCAAACTGAGGGAGAAGTGCAGCATTGACATCACTCTTCCATGAGATGATTGTCCTCTGATTGTTGTTGGGAAACCCCAACTTTGATCTTCGGTAGAGTGAGAGAAGGCTCCTTTTGAAGGACAGAAGGAGCTTTGACCAGACTGATGCCCTGCTTCAACTCCCTAACTGCCTCCATCTGGAACTTGTGCTTCTTGCCTTTCATCCTATAGGAGATTTGACAAAATTGTCAGCAAAGAAAAACAAAACACCTTGTATTTATAAAGTTGAAGAGTGACAGCAACACACTCTTAACACATTTTTTCTAATATATTCTCAAATATTGGTTGAAATTTATTGAAAATCACAAAATTAATAGTGAAACTTGAAGGAGACCCACATATTTTTTGTGATTTCCAATAAATTTTAACCAATAATACAAAAATGTGTTGCTAGCATACCTTATAAAGTTTTCAGATTAAAAAAAAAAGGTGGGGTCAAAGAATAACCTATTCTTATGGTGTCGCTCTTCCCTGCTGATTCTGATTTTATCAATCACTGGAATGGACTTGAGGACTTTCTCAGCAAGATTTCTGTCATATCTCTCAGGCCTGTTTCGCTTTCTCTCTAACTCAAAGGTTGAATCCTAAAACAACATATAATAATGCTTAAGCATCTCCAAACCAATGAACCATTAAATGACATACATAGATACAAGACCAAGACAAAAGGAGAAAGAAGGTTAGCTTCATTTACCTTTGTCATATCCTTGCCATGCACTCGCCTATATGCCTTTGTCCATTTTACTTTCCGAGGGTTCCTCTTCATTTTAAAATTCTTGTGGCATTTCGATCTACAAAATCGAAAAATCTGAAGAACAATTGTCAGAAACCTGAATTACTTGTGCCATGTGAAGCAGAGCTATGAACATATATTTCCATTTATTACTCTAGGGTGTCTATAGTATTAACACCCCCAACCCCTCCCACACACACACACACAAATACTAACCTACTAGTTACTAGTGAAAATTGTTGAAAAGTCAAAGAAAAAAAGGCGCATGACAAAGAAAAACGCGTACAATTTTGGTGCCTAATGCGTTTTGAAATTAAGCGTTTCATTTGCCTATATAAAGGAAGCAATGAAAGGCAAAAAAGTGCAGAACAACTGAAAATATTTAGAGAGCAAAAACAGAGAAAATAATTTAGCTTCTGGTACAATTGGGTTACGAGTTGTGAATGGTTGAGAGTCATTTTTGAGTGTTTTGTAAACACTTAGTGTATTCCCTTTTCAGTAATATATCTGTAGCAGTCCGGAGACGTAGGCATTATTGGCCGAACTCTGTTATCAATTTTGTGTGTGCAATATTTCGCATTTATTTTTCACTTCCACAAATCTGACATTACAAGAAAATTCGGCATAATTTTCTCAACAACTGGTATCAGAGCTGGTTCGAAATTTTGCAATTTTTGTGAGGTACTATTTATGTGAATAGTAAAATTTGCAATAGTAAACTCGCAAGTACTGTTCACGTGAATAGTGAATAATGAAAAATTTGTCAGCATTACAAATTTGTTCACAGACGTGTTCTAAACACAGTGGTATACAGAAATTGTCAGAAACGATTCTAAGAAGAAGTCAGATTTGAGTGGGAGTGATGGCCGCAGATGAAGGAAAGGTGAAAATTGAAAAGTTTGATGGTACAGACTTTGGCTTTTGGAAGATGCAAATAGAGGACTATTTGTATCAGAAAGGCATGCATGAACCTCTCACAGGCAAGAAACCAGAGTCTATGAAGGAAGAAGACTGGAAACTTCTGGATAGAAAAGCTCTTGGAGTCATCTGATTAACATTATCCCGTAATGTTGCTTTCAATATAGCAAAAGAAAAGACTACGGCGGATCTTATGAAGGCTCTTGAAAGCATGTACGAAAAGCCGTCAGCCTCAAACAAAGTTCATTTGATGAGGCGGTTGTTCAACTTACGGATTGCAGAAGGCGCCTCAACGGCGCAACATCTAAACGAACTCAACACTGTCACAACCCAATTGAGTTCAGTTGGAATCGATTTCGATGATGAAGTACGGGCTTTAATTCTCTTATCTTCCTTGCCTGAGAGTTGGAATGCTACTGTCACAGTTGTGAGTAGCTCATCCGGAAGCAATAAGTTGAAATTTGATGATATTCGTGATTTGGTTCTCAGTGAAGAGATCCGGCGTAGAGAGTCGGGTGAATCATCAACCTCTTCAGTATTTCATACAGAGTCAAGAGGCAGAAGTTCAACCAGAGGAAGAGGACGCAGTAAATCAAAGGTGAGGCGTTCCAAGTCCAGAAATCATCATAGCTCCAACAACTCGAAGACTATTGAGTGTTGGAATTGCGGGAAGACAGGACACTACAAAAATCAGTGCAGGAGTGCACCGAAGAATCAGGAGGCGAAAGACGAGGCAAATGTTGCTTCCACCTCTGGAAGAGATGATGCGTTGATATGTTCTTTAGAGAGCAAGGAAAAGTCTTGGGTGTTAGACTCTGGAGCATCTTTTCATGCCACTTCGCAGAGAGAATTCTTCAAAAACTATGTTCCCGGAAACCTTGGTAAAGTTTATCTTGGTAATGACCAATCATGTGAGATTATGGGCAAAGGTATAGTGAAGATTAAATTGAATGGGTCTGTATGGGAATTGAAAAATGTCAGACATATTCCCGACCTAACGAAAAACTTAATCTCAGTAAGCCAATTGGCCAGTGAAGGTTACACAACAGTCTTCCACGGTGATAATTGGAAGATTTCAAAGGGTGCAATGGTAATTGCTCATGGCAAAAAGAGTGGTACTCTTTATAAGACAGCAGGAGCATGTCATCTGATTGCAGTTGCAGCATATGAAAATCCCAATCTATGGCACCAGAGACTAGGCCATATGAGTGAGAAATGGATAAAAATCATGCACTCAAACGGTAAGCTACCAGGTCTTCAGTCAGTAGAAATTGACATGTGTGAAGACTGTATACTTGGAAAACAAAAACGAGTCAGCTTTCAGACAAGTGGAAGAACCCCAAAGAAGGAAAGACTCGAGCTTGTTCACTCTAATGTTTGGGGTCCAACATCTGTTCCATCCATTAGTGGAAAGCAATACTTTGTGACTTTTATCGATGATCACTCCAGAAAGGTATGGGTATACTTTCTGAAATATAAGTCTGAAGTATTTGAGGCTTTCAAGATGTGGAAAGCCATGGTTGAAAATGAAACAGGATTGAAGATTAAAAAGATTAGAACCGACAATGGTGGTGAATATGAAGACACCAGATTCAAGAAGTTTTGCTATGAGCACGGGATCAGAATGGAGAGGACCGTGCCAGGTACGCCTCAACACAATGGTGTAGCTGAGCGTATGAATCGAACGTTGACTGAAAGAGCCAGAAGCTTGCGTGTGCAGTCAAGCTTACCAAAGCAGTTTTAGGCAGAAGCAGTCAACACAGCAGCTTACTTGATCAACCGAGGTCCATCGGTACCATTGGAACACAAAATACCAGAAGAGGTATGGAGTGGAAAAGAGGTAAAACTCTCACATCTTAGAGTTTTTGGCTGTGTAGCATATGTGCACATTAATGATCAAGGCAGGAGTAAGCTTGATCCCAAATCAAAGAAGTGCACTTTCATCGGTTATGGTGAAGATGAGTTTGGCTACCGCCTATGGGATGATGAAAATAGAAAGATGATCCGCAGCAGAGATGTAATCTTCAATGAAAGAGTGATGTACAAGGACAAGCATAGCACAAGCGCCAATAATGCAGAACAGATTGAGTTAGTGTATGCAGAAGTGGATGATGTCCCAGAAAATCCTGTAGTTGAGAATCATCAGTCAGAGGAATCAACTAAAGAGAACAGTGAGCTGCAGTCTGACACATCAGAGGCTCCTATTTCAACTCCTGTATTGAGAAGGTCTTCTCGACCTCATGTGCCTAACAGGAGATACATGGACTACATGTTGTTGACTGATGGAGGAGAGCTTGAAGATTATGTAGAAGCATGTCAAACCATAGATGCCAATAAGTGGGAGCTTGCTATGAAAGACGAGATGAAGTCTTTGATCTCCAACCAGACATGGGAACTAACTGAGTTACCTATAGGAAAGAAGGCACTTCACAACAAATGGGTGTATCGGGTGAAGGAGGATCATGATGGCTCTAAGAAATACAAAGCCTGACCAGTTGTCAAAGGATTTCAGCAAAAAGAAGGAGTTGACTACAGTGAAATCTTTGCTCCAGTTGTAAAGCTCAATACTATCAGGTCTGTCTTAAGTATTGTAGCTAGTGAAGAGCTCTATCTTGAGCAATTGGACGTGAAGACTGCATTTCTTCATGGAGACTTAGATGAGGAAATCTACATGCATCAACCTGAAGGTTTCTCACAAGAAGGGAAAAAGAATATGGTATGCTGATTAAAGAAGAGCTTGTATGGCCTGAAACAAGCCCCAAGACAGTGGTATAGGAAGTTTGAAAGCTTCATGCACAAGGAAGACTTCCAGAAGTGCAATGCAGACCACTGTTGTTTCTTCAAAAGATATAAGTCCAGTTATATTATCTTGCTACTTTATGTTGATGATATGTTAGTAGCAGGTTCAGATATGAACGAGATTAGAGATCTAAAGATGCAGCTGTCAAAAGAATTTGACATGAAGGACTTAGGTCCAACAAAGAAGATTCTTGGAATGCAAATCACGAGAGATAAGCAAAGAGGAATTTTGCAGTTATCTCAGGAGGAGTATATCAATCGTGTTTTACAAAGATTCAACATGGGCAAGGCCAAGCCGGTTAGCACACCTTTGGCCAGTCACTTTCGCCTATCCAAGGATCAGTCCCCTCAGACGGAGGAAGAAAGAAACTTCATGGCTAAGATTCCATATGCTTCAGCCATTGGAAGTTTGATGTACGCAATGGTGTGTACTAGGCCAAACATTGGCCATGCAGTGGGAGTTGTAAGCAGGTTTATGGCAAATCCAGGAAAAGCTCATTGGGAAGCAGTCAAGTGGATTTTGAGGTATCTACGAGGCACAACAAAGAAGTGTTTGTACTTTGGAAAAGGAGAATTAAAAATACAAGGCTATGTAGATGCAGACTTCGGAGGTGAAATCGATCACCGAAGAAGTACCACCGGTTACATTTTTACTGTTGGTACTACAGCTGTCAGTTGGATGTCGCGGATACAGAAGATTGTTGCTTAATCCACTACAGAAGCTGAGTATGTAGCAGTCACAGAAGCCAGTAAAGAGTTGATATGGCTTCAAGGTTTGTTAACAGAGCTGAGATTCATCCAAGAGAGGAGTGTTTTGCACAGTGACAGTCAGAGTGCAATACATCTGGCAAAAAATTCAGCATTTCACTCTAGAACCAAGCACATTGACATACGTTACCACTTCATCAGATCTCTGCTTGAGGATGAGGTGCTGACATTGAAAAAGATTATAGGAAGCAAGAACCCAGCAAACATGCTAACAAAGGTGGTAACCATTGACAAACTGAAGTTGTGTTCAACTTTAGTTGGCCTGCTAGAATAACAGACCAGAAAAGACTGCTGCATTGATTAAGGTGTGAAGACAGATTGAAATCAGTCTTCAAGTGGAGATTGTTGAAAAGTCAAAGAAAAAAAGGCGCATGACAAAGAAAAACGCGTACAATTTCGGTGCCTAACGCGATTTGAAATTCGGTGCCTAACGCGTTTTGAAATTAAGCGTTTCATTTACCTATATAAAGGAAGCAATGAAAGGCAAAAAAATGCAGAACAACTGAAAATATTCAGAGAGCAAAAACAGAGAAAATAGTTTAGCTTCTGGTACAATTGGGTTACGGGTTGTGAATGGTTGTGAGTCATTTTTGAGTGTTTTGTAAACACTTAGTGTATTCCCTTTTTCAGTAATATATCTGCAGCAGTCCGGAGACGTAGGCATTATTGGCCGAACTCCGTTATCAATTTTGTGTGTGCAATATTTCACATTTATTTTTCACTTCCACAAATCTGACATTACAAGAAAATTCGGCGTAATTTTCTCAACAACATGAATCAACGATAATCAATGTATTTGACAGGTGATCTAAGCAATCAATTCAAGCATGAGACGAATTTACCGAGTCCATCCATGGTCCATACGTCATAGATGATTAGAAAGTAGCTAGCAATTTTACAGCAGTCAAACCTCACTTTTCAACTAATCCGACAATAGCAATCAATTCCATAGCTAACAGTTCTCTCGAAGCGCGAATACAAATGAACTAGCACATAGATAAGAGACAAATTTATGAGGAGAATAGGGCAAGAGATAACACATTTTACCTTTGCATCATTACGAACAAACTGGATTCCATGTCCAGGGTATATGGTAGAAGAGCAGAACCAGCATTTTTCCAATCTCATTGCACCTCCACCCTAAGGCAAAACCTTCACTACAAAAAAATAACAAAAACGAAAAAAAACAAAACATTAAAACAACAGTGATAAACTATTCAATATAATAGACACATGTTGTTAATATCCACCATCTACTTATATTATGAAAATGTCAATACTCGATACTATGCTAAAAGCAAGCTGAACACCTGTATCAGTTAAATATCCAAAGCAATCAATAAAACAAGTATTTCATGCAGCAACAACTTCAAAACAACACTCAACAACGAAATTAAAATTCTAAGTCGAGAACTCCAGATTCTAGCATCCGTAAAATTAAAGTTGCATGGTTTAAATATTTAATTATTGTATCTTGTGATCAAGTTCAAATTAACCAAAATGGCAAATTACGCAGAACCAGTTAAGCGATGATTGATCGGTGAAACGAGAGAAAGGGTAAAGACAGAGAGAACCTGAGGAATAGTGGCCAGTAACAGAATCTGTTGAGGCTAAAATGCGAATGAATGAAGACGATAAACAGAGGGATCGCTGGGACAGTTGTTGCTGCTAAAACTGTTGAAGTTTTGAGGGTGGCATCGTCAGCATTTTTAGTTTAGGCTTATTTTACGAGTTATTTATTTTGCTTTTTTATTTAAAATTTTTTAAAAATTATTTTTTAAACAGAATTTTTATTTGTAATTTTTATTTTAAAATATAAATCTATAACAAAAATGCTTTATTTTAAATTAAATTATATATATGGATCGTTTTAAATTATGTTATTTTAATATTTTAATAATCTTTAATAAATACCCACGAATATTTATGGGTATTCGCAGATAATAATAACTCAATAAATTTGGATCAGTATTTTTTTAATTTTTTTTTGGGTGTGTGTGAAATAAACCTTTTACATAATGGTTTTTATCAATACGATTAGGTGAACTAATGAAGTAACTGTTTTACCTTCAGTTAAGATTAAATTTCAATTTTTAAAATAAATACATGTTAAAAGGGCTTGAAGAATAGTCTTGCAATATTTCAACAAGGACAAAATATAAAGTGTTTTGTTCTTTATCAGTTTTACTCATACAAATATTAAACAATGATAATATATGTACTGGGAAAGGAATCAACTCGGTTCCACCCTCAAGAAAAAGAAACCGAATACCTACTCGGCATACTGGGCCGAGTACCCCTCGTCAGGATTAAAAGGTAAATAATCCAATTAAAGATAATCAAAAATACTATGGGCCTTAATATAAAAACGGACTCAGGCCCATTAGCCCAATAGAATGTCTATAAAAAAAAGATAAGAAATATAGGTAAGAGGTTGACTTCTCATCATTAAATAACATTTATTGCTCAGAACCGAATCCTAACTTTATCATTGGAGTGCCTTTTACAGGTATTCTCCCTATCAGCAAATCAGCAGAAGGACGCCTGATCAGAGGTTTGAAGACAGTTGTTTCGCCAGGAAGGAACATTTTGGCGCCCACCGTGGGGCCCGATCAACTTCATCACTTAGGATTAAGCATGGTAATGACGAGAAGCCAGCAGGAAGGGACTTCTAGGCAATAAATGGAGGGCGTCACGCCAGAGGAACTAGTACCGGAAGTGGTGATACAGGGAGGAACGGAAGAAAGCATGCTAGCTGTACTGAGGCAGCTAAAGGCAGAAATGGTGGAGATGAAGAAGGATCGCGAAAGAGATGCACTGGAACTCTCAGCCCTACAAAGGGAAAATGTCGGCCTAAGGGAGGAAATAAGGACACACGTCCCCTCTCTTACTACCCCTGTCGTCCAAGATCAAGGAGAATCATCAGCGCTGCAAGAAAAATCAAGACAGGTATATCAATCGGTAACCGAAAATGACCGAGACGAACTTGTGAACCGGAGCCCGTTCATTCATCGCATTCTAGAAGCCAAGCTGCCCGATAATTGGAGAGGGTTGGTAATAGACAAATACGATGACACATCCGACCCCGGAGAACATGTGGACACCTTTACAACGCAGGTCGGTCTGTACACAGAAAGCGACGCCTTATGGTGCAGAATCTTTCCTACTTCACTTCGAGGACCTGCGCTTAATTGGTTCACCCGACTCCTCCCCCTCTCCATCGACTCGTTCGTAACTCTCACAAGACGTTTCAACTTGCAGTTCGCCACAAGCCGGCCCCATCCACTAACATCCTTGGCCCTAGTCAATATTCGCCAAGAGAAAGGAGAATCACTTAGAGCGTTCATGGAACGCTTTGGCAAAGTGACTCTTTCAATTCATAATTTGGAACCAGCAATGGCTATGCACCACCTAACAACAGTGTTGAAACCGGGACCCTTCGTTAATAGCCTCTGCAAAAAACCCCCGATCGACCTAGATGAGTTAAGGAGTTGGGCTGCGAAATATATGCAAATGGAAGAATTATCCGAATACTGGAGCCAGGTACGGATGGAACAAGGACCTAACTCAAAAAATGAAGAAAGAAGGGAAACCTTTAAAACAAGGCGGGGGAACGACAGAGGAAAGGAACTTGAGCGACCACCTCAAGGACCGAAGTATCCCTCCTACACGACGCTCAACTCTAATCAGTCCAGAATACTTGATCAAGCGTTGGCCACAGAAATATTGAGAATGCCTAGACGCGCTAACACTCCTTCTCGGGCAGATAAAAGTAAGTCTTGCCGATATCATCAGAACATGGGTCACACTACCGAAGAGTGTACGGCGCTAAGAGACAAAATTGAAGAATTGATTAAAGGAGGAAACACCTGCCTTTCCCGAGGAGGACTAGTGCTAGGAAGGGGTTCAGGAGCGTCAGTATCACTTGACGATGACGTCTCGGTTTCGTTACTACCTTCGCCGACCTGAGCCTCTTCATTCCTCCGGTTTGAAATAGACGAAACTTCGCCACTCCCCTCGGTTCCATTTATAATATCAACCTCAATGGTACTCGGCCCTGAGGCATTCGACAGGGAATCCTCCCACTCAATACGATCAGCCATGATAGAAAAGAAGTAAAGAAAAAATGAAACGCACCTTACTAGCAGTCGGTAGGGAAGAAAAGCCTAGGATCTCTGAACACTCGTCGGTTTGGAGCAAAGGTATGCAGGGTTCGGCACAGAGCAAAAGAGTAAGAAAGGGATGCAGGGACCACCACATATTTATAAGGGACTGATGTTGGGCAAACGAAAAGACGCCCTTTCGTTTCAAACCATTAGATCCCTTCCAGATCAACGGAGGAGATGGAGCACCCCTTCGCTTCACATACCCTCTGACAAATCCTCAAAACCAACATTCTAGAATATTCCTTCGCACATTTATTATTTATAATCTCGGCCTATACCGTGTTGTTACTAAACCGACTACTCCTCAATGTAAAAATTAATACATCAAACGTTACCATCAATCGAGACCGGACACCCCCACGATGACCCTCTCGGTATAATAATAAGCACTCCAACCGAATACCTATTCTAATATTACCATCTCCATTTTTAAGCCCTTGCTTCGCAACTCGCCGGGCTTGTGGGGCTAGTGTACTGGGAAAGGAATCAACTCGGTTCCACCCTCAGGAAAAAGAAACCGAATACCTACTCGGCATACTGGGCCGGGTACCCCTCGTCAGGATTAAAAGGTAAATAATCCAATTAAAGATCATCAAAAATACTATGGGCCTCAATATAAAAACGGACTCAGGCCCATTAGCCCAATAGAATGTCTATAAAAAGAAGATAAGAAATACAGGTAAGAGGTTGACTTCTCATCATTAAATAACATTTATTGCTCAGAACCAAATCCTGACTTTATCATCGGAGTGCCTTTTGCAGGTATTCTCCCTATCAGCAAATCAGCAGAAGGACGCCTGATCAGAAGTTTGAAGACAGTTGTTTCGCTAGGAAGGAACAATATAATTTTAGTTTTAGTAACAAGTGCTAGCAAAAATAAAAAAATATTCAAATAAATTCCTTTTCAATTTATGATAAATTAAATAATTTTACTTTATTACCGTTTTGCTTTTAATGTATGCCCTTCGACAATAAGCAAAACTCCATAATTTTTTAATGCAAAATTAAAGAAATTTGTGGGGCAGACTTTATTTCGGGTATAATGGGCTTCAGGCTCCACTTACCACAATTTAAGGCTTGGCCCACCTCTATGGGCCAAGAAAAATATTTGCTTGTATAATAGTTTTCTAATTTTCTTGTCAGGAATATTCATATAAAACACAATGCTCTACCCGTTTCACTTGGTCTCAAGAGAATTGATTTTGAGGGCCATTTGAGTCAGTACACCATACAAGTTCATTGATTGTCAAAGCTACAATTATCAGACTTCTTTTATATTGATTTCACTATTCGTTTCACCTTTCTTGTGACATTTTTAAAATAAATTTATAAATTATTTAATAAAAATATACTATTTGATATATTATGCTTTTAAAATTTTCTATATTTAATCTTTTCTAGAACTTTAAAAGTAATTATTTGTGTTTTTTTTTTCTCTATATATCTATACACACATATATAGATAAATCAATAGACAGATTTAAAGAATAAGAAAACAAGGGTGGACACTTCAACCACATCTTCATTCACAGCACGACCACAAAATTCAGGCTGAGGGAAGCCATATATGTCTGTGACATTCAACTCAATTATTATGTGCAAACCTCTTATGCGGATAATGTCATATATATAGATGTCCGAGTTCAAGATTCACGGTTACAATACTCAAATCCAATCCACGACTACGTTGAATATTCTGAGAAAGTATCATGAATTTTTGGTATAACACAGTGAATGAATCAATTTGAAAAGTGGGTTTGCTAATTGCTAGATCGTTTTAGTTGTCGTCAAGATTAGTGGTCTTCCCCTTTGACACAAACACAGACAGAAGAACAGGGGCACACTAGAATATTCGCATGGTTATTGAACCGTACAAGAACCTCTAAATTATTGAAAATCATTCGTTCAGATTAAAGCACGTAAAAAATTAATTATTTGTGAGATGTGTTGTTCAGATTTTTTTTAAAAAATCATGAAGATTGTTTTAGTAAATTTTTTATATCCACTATAATTCTTTCTTTGAAATCTTCTTTCTACCACTGCTTCCAAGTCCCACCTTGGTTGCTTTCATCAAACGGCTAGTGGGTTAGAGGGAGAGTCCAAAATTAGGCGTTGCTTTCTTCATTCTGGTCTTTGCAACATTGTTTACAGCTAGCATTTTGTTCTTGTATTTTTCCTGTTTTTTTCTTGCCTTTATTCCACTTCTCTCAATAATTATTATAGTTATTGATAACTTGTGAAGTGTACCCCACCATCACCATGCCTTCATTTTCTTCATCAGTCTTTTGTCACTTGCTGACACTATCCATAGGGGACCCATATTTTCATTAATGTTTAATTTTTTCCCTCCCTTGAAGAACCACCACGATACACATAGCTAATGAGAATGACGAATTTGATATTCCTTCTCCTCACGTCAATACTTTTTCTCCCAATTAGTGCCCCCAAAATAGTTCCTTAATTTTAGGAGATCTGGTAATTTTTATTGAGATACTGTGGCATTCATGAATGAGGGGAGAGAAGGGACACATGGAGGAGATAGGTCCCGTGAATCTTTAACCTTTTACACCAAACTCCCAATTGCGTGAATTAGATTTGAGGAAGAAGGCACTGTGAATGATGGTTTTGTGAATGAACCCCACCACCTAATTTCTTGTGCTTCCTTCCTTGCAATTGCATGATTCTGAGCATTATGCTCTTGTCAAAATAAAAAGTAAGATAACACTTTGTTGCAAAATGCCTTAATTCTCCACAGTTGGAACACACTCGGATCCTATTGTCGCTGAAGCATTGGGAGAAACAAAAGAGCAACATGTTCTTGTCGTTTAAATTGCTTAGAGTTTCTCTCCGTATCTTAAGGACTTCAAATGTTTATCCTCATTAACCCCTTTCTAAGTATAACAAAATATTGTAGTTAAACAGTAACTTCGGTTAAACTGCTCCAATTTGAAATTTTGATTTATATGCAAACAAAACTAAGACCACTAATTTCAATGAAAAGTTTCTTTTTTAAATGGAGCCACACAACAGTAAGAATATTAAGAACTTTCGAAATCGATTTTCTCTGCAGCAGAAAATAATCATATCCATCTGCGGTGTATTATAATTTATACTAAAAATATCTTAGCCGTTTACATCCATACAAATATTTTAGGTCTCAACAGTTGAAATTAACGAAAGCGTATATTAAATGACAAAACATGTTAATTTATAAGAATAATGAGTGGATGTTTTATTGCACAAAATTGACAATAAACAAAAGTATAAAACAATTAATAATAATATTTTATTAAAAATATTTATTATATTTTTATATCTTCAACATAATAAATGTATTTTTTAATAAAATTTAAAAATAGCAAGGTTCAATTATTAATTTTAAAATTAAATCTTGAACACATTAAGGATATTAAATTTATTTTTTGTAGTTAATTTTAAATAATTAATTTAATATTTTTAAAATATAATTATAATGCTTCCTTGTTTTTGTGAAATAATTTTTTTTTAAATAAAAAAGTATTATTATTAGATATATAATTTCAATTATAAAAAGTGACCTGATAAAAAGAAATATGTATATAATGATCGTGTGGTTACTCGTCTTAAGCAGGCAGCACCAGCACCACAAAACCTCCCATTTTGTAGTTTGCTTGTTTTATTTTCATCCAATTTATTCTTACACAATTCAAATGCCATTTTTTTTTTTAATGCCAAACAACAAAACAATCTAAGAATAGAAAAATTCTTATACTGAAAAATCTATTACATCTTCTTCGATATTAAATTTATTAAAATTAAAAAATGATTACATATTATAAATTTACATTATATATTAAATAAATAAATATATTTATTTCTGAAGACATGAATCAACTGATAATAATTATTATAATTCAACTTATATTATAAAGTTGAGTCTCAATAAAAATATTTTTTATTAAAAAAATTAAATAAATATATTAATTATATAAAAAAAATTGAGTCTATTATTAATAATTAAAATATTTTAAAAAATTATTTAATATAATTAAAAAATTAATAATTATTTCTTATAAATAAAACAATGTATTGACATGCTTGTTGTGGACTCCTGCCTCTCACACTCAACTTAATCCCTCCCCGGTTTTCCGAGTTCCAAGTTCTCAGTTCACATTCCTCATTTTTCACTCGCTCTTTCTTTCCTTTGCATAGAGCTTCGCTTCTGCATTGCTGCAACACCACGCGCCGCGCGCTAGATCTGCACCCAACCGTTCAAGCTATGCACCAGTAGCCACTAACATGTCCAATTCCAATCCCAACAACCGCCAGCCTCCGTCGCTGCCTTCTTCGTGGGCCAAGAAAACGGGCTTTAAGCCCAAGTTCTCCGGCGAGACTAATGCCACCAATTCGGGCCAAATAACCACCCCGCCGCCCAAGCCCAGAGTACCCGAGCCCAACCTGGATCTCGAAGCCGCTCGAGCTCCAACTCCCGCAACTGCCAATGGCGTTGCAGTGGGTGACAACGTTCCCGTTCCGCCTCCGCCGCCGTCTGCGATGGCGAAGAAGCGGAGAGACTCCGACGGCGTTCCGAAGAGTTCCGTTCCAAGTTCCAATGACCAGGCGCTGCCGCGAAGAAATGCGAGGCACGATGAAGTGGTGGACGACGACCGGTTTGTGTCTCGGCACTCGCATATTAAATATGAACTGAGAGATTCACCTGGTTTAGGTATTGAAACTGTAATGGATTTTGGAGTTTCAATTTGAATAATTTGATTCAATTCCTTTTTTCTAAGGTTGAAAAGTTTGATTTCATGTGTGTTACTTGTTACTGTAGTTCCGATTGGCGTGTATGGTATTCAGCACTACGTTTCGGTAATAGGTTCATTGGTTCTCGTTCCACTTGTCATTGTTCCTGCCATGGGAGGGACTCATGTGAGTGATTTTCATTTGGCTTAGTTGGTTTTTTTAGTGTTATGTTTGAGGCGAAGTTGTTAGTGTGTTAAGTGAGTGTAGGAGGAAACTTCTATGGTGGTATCGACAGTGCTGTTCGTTTCGGGGTTGACTACACTCTTGCATATTGCTTTTGGGTCCAGGCTGCCCTTGATTCAGGGCCCTTCCTTTGTCTATCTGGCGCCAGCTCTCGCGATAATCAACTCCCCGGAGTTTCAAGGAGTAAATGGAAATGTTTGTATCTCTTTCCGATTCAAATGGTTCAGTGATATTGATTTTTGTCTATATATCATGGTTCAATCTAACTAAGGTGTTGGGTCTTGCAACACTTTATGTTTAGTTAGTCATTGGACAAAACGTAGGTGCTGTTATCAATCAAAATTTGAATTTTATCTTTGGTAATCTGTGATAACATTAAGCATAAATCTTTTATTAAAGTAAAACTCTAATTTTAATTTATAAACAGTACCAACAGCACCTAAATCACCATATAAGTTTTGTCCTTACTCATAAGGTCTCATGGGATATGCGTGCTGTATTTTAAATTTCTCTAGTGGAATAATTGAAACGAAGACCACTGATAAGGTTTCTTCCACAATTTGCAGAAATTCAAGCATATAATGAAGGAGCTCCAGGGGGCTACAATCATTGGATCAGCTTTTCAAGCTTTAGTTGGATATACTGGACTTATGTCGTTGTTAGTAAGGTATAATATTTGGGTTTTCTCTGCTTGATTACTTTTTTCGCTAGTCTTTACTTATACATGCTTTTGTTTCACCAAACAGAATTAGTATTGTGGACAGATGCAAGTTTTATGTTAAAGGGTGAGAAATTCAAGTAAAAGAATAAGAGGTAAAGTGGAACTTGGCCAAAATTTTGTAGGGGCAAAAATATCAACATACGAATTTCCATTTCTTAGTTTTTTATTATATTTAATGAATTAGAAATATTATACATCTTATTAAGAACATATTATTCTAAAAATGAAAAAGGGAAATCATCGCCAATAATATGTATAGGCTTTATATATGTGCCAAGTAAGAAAGGGAAGAGGAAATCTCTTTATTACAGGGTTGCAATATGAGATACTTTTGATTCTCTCAGCAATGGTTACAAATATTGGCCTAATCTCTATTAAAGAATCCAAACACTAGTGCTTGCCTTGATGAGAATTAACTGTAGTACTTGCATCTGACCAACCAATAAAGGACTACAAATAAGAATCAAACCTAATATCTTTGCATTGATGCAATTCAATCTTACTAGCTGAGCTAACTCTTTATTTGCTATTGTCAAAATCGCAATATTAATCCCTAGATCACACAATCCTAAGATCTTTCTCTCACTCCGCAATCTTAATCGGAAACAGGATTGGATGTTGGCAAGGTCACGTAGGATCATGATCATTCTCTTTCAAATTGCAGGATAGATGATCCGAGCCAATCTTTACTTCGTGGGTTTTTGTTAGCTAGTTTTTAAAAATCCATTTACAGGGCAAGATTTGACCCAATTTGGACTTCTGATCTCTTATTATTGTGCGGCAACACTTCTTCCAGCTAGGTCACGAAGTTTTTCCTCATCTTTTCTCTATTTTGAAACAACCTTCACACTGCTACCATTTGTGAGTTTAGGTTTGGTTTCAGCAACCTCTGTTCTGCACTTAAAAATGAGCTTTGGCCCTCTTTGTGTCAGTCTTCTATTTTCTCAGACCTAGGTGTTGCTGCATAGGTTTCTACTTTCTCTTGTCTTTGCCTTTGTTTCTATACTTCTGTTTGTGGTTCTTGCTTGTTCTTGGGTGTTGTGGCCTGCATTCTGCAATATTTTGTGGCTGGGCTCTTGGATTCCAAATTCCAATACAACTAGAATGAGGTTGGTGGCAGTGGAAAGGGGAAAGAGATTGGTGCGAGCTTCATAACTCCAATTCTGCACAAGAGAATATATAATATAAATTTAGTGATTTCATGCTGACGATTTTTGACTGGGGATTCATGTAGCAGATCTAAAAGAAATTTCCCCCCTCCGTGAATTGTGCTGGAAAATTCATGAAACTGAAATTAACTGGTTAATACTTCTAGAACAGTTTATAATCACTTTTAAAAGGAAGGAAATAATATATTTTTCTTTTATCGTCAATTAAGGTTGTTATATAATCCTGATAAATGGTTGGTTTAGAGTATTCATAAATTTTAGTTCTCATACTTTAGATGCTGTGATCATTCTTCTGTGGAAAGGAGTTATGTTTCAAAAGATTATATATACTTTATTTAAATATTATTTCCTTATGGTTTCTTCCCAGTTTCCATCCATATGTGACATTCCTCTCCCCCACCCCCTCTTTTGTTCTGGTGCAATACAAAACCATGTCCTTTGGCTTTTCACACTTTAAGATTTAAATCTTTTCACTGCCCGAGTTCTCTGAAATAAAAATATCACATCTCAGATCATATTCTTATAAGTTTAGACTCTAATGAGCCTCATTTTATGTGTTTCCTTGCAGGTTGATCAATCCTGTGGTTGTTTCCCCAACTATTGCTGCAGTTGGGCTTTCATTCTTCAGTTATGGTTTCCCATTAGTTGGTACATGTATTGAGATTGGTGCAGTACAAATATTAGTGGTTATTCTTTTTTCTCTTGTAAGTTTGTTGAATTTATCTTCAGTTTTTTTATTTTTAATATTTATTCATTTTTGTATTCGTTTATACCAGTGTGTATATTGTATTGCTTATTTCACTGTACTAGAATTAGTAATCTTATTTCTTGCTTTCTACAGTATCTTCGTAAGATATCTGTTCTTGGACATCGAATATTTCTAATATACACAGTAAGTTGAATGTTTTGACAAATTGCTTGTCACTTCAGTAATTGAAATAAAATTTTGTGTAGCAAATGATTTCTGTTTTCTTCACCTAACTGCCAGGTTCCTTTGGGTCTGGCAATTACATGGGCATTCGCTTTCTTGCTGACTGAAGTAGGAGTTTACAACTACAAAGGGTGTGATATAAATATACCTGCCTCAAATATGGTTTCAGAGCACTGCAGAAAACATTTTTCTAGAATGAGGCATTGTCGTGTTGATACTTCTCAAGCATTGAAATCGTCTTCATGGTTTAGATTTCCTTACCCACTACAATGGGGTACTCCTGTCTTCCATTGGAAAACGGCTATAATCATGTGTGTGGTTTCCTTAATCTCATCTGTGGATTCGGTTAGTTTCTTGTCTTTCTTTGTTTTGGTTCCTAGACTGTACTTATCTTAACCTTGAATATGTTGGTCATTTGACTTAGTTGTGTTATCTTAGAAAAGCTAATTACCTACTAGGCCCTTGTACCATCTTGATAACCATGTACTAGCAATATTTTATTTATGAGGCTGTTCTTTTTCTTAGATATGATACAGGCTTTGATGGAAAATTACGATTTGGACATAACTCAATGATATATGTTCAATAAAAATGATGGCTCAGATGAAGTAAGAAACTTGCACATGTTTTTCACTTGAGACTATTTATAAGTTCATTTTAACTGCAAGTTTTGTCAATAGACGAGGAAAACTTTTGTGATTGTAGATTGTTGTGATACTTTATCAGATCCAAACTTAAACACTACGCTTATTTTTTTACGTGATCAATGTCTTTCTTTTGGCTTTTTTTCATATAAAGTATACACCAACTATAAGGGTGAGTAATGTAGTATAGGTTCTATCTCAAGACTTAGGAAATGACTGCATCAATTGCAATAATTCTTTCATTACAATATTTTTAGAATTTTGATGCTGCAAATAACCATTTTGTGATTAATCAAATAATAATATATGTTGATCTATTAGAGAATAATTGTATATTATTTCAAAATTAAAATATTATGTTCCTTGCAGTTTTCTCTATATGCAGGATTGTAACAAATAATTGTTCTTCGTTGTTGATATTCATTCACTTTAATCTTTGAAGGTTGGCTCATATCATGCATCTTCATTATTGGTAGCATCTAGACCACCAACTCCTGGAGTTCTTAGTCGAGGAATTGGTTTGGAAGGTCTTTCTAGTGTCTTGGCTGGTCTCTGGGGAACCGGAACTGGATCTTCAACTCTAACTGAAAATGTTCATACAATTGCTGTAACTAAAATGGGAAGCCGCAGGGCAGTTCAACTGGGTGCCTGCTTTCTGATAGTGTTGTCTCTTGTGGGTAAGTGTCTGTCATCTTTTTACAAGATTTGACACATAGTCTTGCCAATTAATAGTTATACTTCAATATGTGGACTTTAAAAAAAAATCAAATTGTATATAAAGTTATGAATGATGTGAGAATACCTTTGTCTTAACTGGTATAAGCCAATCTCTACTCTATCAAATTAGATAGTGATGTAGAAGTTTACTGCTTTATTTGAATATTTAGCATATCTGTTACGAGTGCATACAGTAATGAGAAACTATTGGGTTATGAAGTCAAATTTGAAAACACTGGGGTTGAGAGTGGAAGGAGACAAACTGTGGTAGAAAATAGATTCCATGGGCATTAGGCTTTCCCATAGGCTTCTGATTCTGAATGTAAGATAATATACTGATGATTTTGTAATATACATCTGTGATGCTATTAGAGAATCTTAACATTGCTTAGGATGTTCACATAAATATAATTACATAACGTTGCTGCTTTTACTATTCAGTGTATCTGCACATTTACAATTGCTTTTGCATTCTAAATTGCATGGTGTTATTTTAGTTTAGCATGAATCCTTAGCCCCTTCACTGAAGTATGGGGAACAGATGCAGACCGACATGTAAAAAACTTAAAATGCTCAAATCATATTTGATGTACTGTGTGGGGTCTGATACATGTTGTAGATGGACATGGCTGCTTTCTGAGGTATCTGTGTTTTATATCTCTTTGTTGCTTAATGATTAAATGCAGTTTATCTATCTCCGAATGGCCAATTTGTTAATTTAAAACTGTAGCTAGTTAGCCTCTTGAACTGATGATATAGAGCAATATCTGTCTTGCAAGTGATGGACTTTATCTGTTGAGCATGCTATGCCTTGAAGCAGTACATGGCTATTGGCATTGCATAATATCTCATTCTAATGAAAACAGTGGTGTGAAGCTTCACTGAGATACTTCCTCAGTTCCCCTATCCATATCTTTGGCAAATATAAGTGCTTATTCATTACCAAGTCCATCAACCTACAAAGAAATTTTAAAAAGCCGTTCAGTTCTTGTGCTGATTGTATCTATTTTTGGGACTAAATAAGCCGTAGGATAATTAGGATATGCAATTTATTCAGTCTGCTTTTTTGCTCGCTTCTCTTGTGCCCATTTAAAATACTTTTGTTCTCTCATCTGTAAAAACAAGTCTTACATGTTTATCAATGTTTAATTATGCATTTGCCATGTAACAGGTAAGGTTGGAGGATTCGTTGCTTCAATTCCTGAAGTCATCGTTGCTGGTCTCCTCTGCTTTATGTGGGCAATGCTCACAGCATTGGGTTTGTCGAATCTACGCTATAGCGAGGCAGGAAGTTCTCGCAATATCATCATTGTTGGGTTATCCTTGTTTTTCTCTCTTTCCATACCCGCATACTTTCAACAATATGGCATCTCTCCAAAGTCTAACTTGTCTGTACCAAGTTATTTTCAGCCCTATGTTGTGGCTTCTCACGGGCCTTTCCACAGCAAATATGGAGGGGTATGGGTTTGTGTCATGCTTTTTTACTATTATGAATCTTGTGCTTGAATGTGTCAAATTTTGATCACGAAAATTGGTTTACTACTATAACATTTTCAGAAAAGATAAAAAAATAATCCACAAGCCACTTTCATCTCTGAGGGTGTGTGTGGCTGACAAAACTGTCATTAAATGTTAAATGTGTATCTCCGTGGTCTTTTGAATGGATGTTGAAACTACCCACATTCAATAGGGACATAGTTAGTTGGTTCGATAGATTTCAAGGTCAATTGCATACTACTCCTTAGTTTTGACCAAGATTTTCTGCTTATGTTTGCAACTTCTGTATTGACAGAATCCTTCCTGTTCTTATTGTATGGTTGCTACTTGCTAAATCTTGTGTTTATAAGACACCTTGAATTCATGATGCAGTGAACAAACTATAAAATATGTATGTGGAATTAGCTTTAATTTATTATCTTATTTTACCACTTAAATGCTGGATAAAAATTACTTTCTTTGTAGAATTATTTTGTACATTTAGTTGGAATGTCTGGTATTTCTATTGGAGCAATTGTTAATCTGTTCCTTTTGCAGTTGAACTATGTCTTGAACACGCTTTTTTCACTGCACATGGTGATCGCGTTTCTTGTCGCGGTTATCCTGGATAATACTGTACCCGGCAGTAAGCAGGAACGCGGGGTATATGTTTGGTCTGAGCCTGAGGTTGCTCGAAGGGAGCCTGCTATTACCAATGACTATGAGTTGCCCTTGAGAGTTGGTCGGATTTTCAGATGGGTGAAGTGGGTTGGCCTGTGAAAGACATGGGTTTCATTGTTTGACATATTCACTTTATTGAATGGCTCTCAACTGCTAAAGGATTTCACAAGTTGTGTTGGCCTCAATGATGGTAAGTAATAGGTCATGTTACAGAGTTAATTTGTACACATGGGGGATCCTCGGGGCTCTATTTGTGTTGTAATTTATTATTAGATTAATCTTGTAACTAGTTTTGATTGATTCAAAATTCTCAGGTGTATTTTTTTTCTCTTGGCTAAAGGCGAGGCTTGACAAATCATTTTGATTGTATATATACATTTTCTTTTGGGCAGTTTTATCCAGCCTCATTGTAATTGCTAGATGTAGCAAGTTAAATATATTATATGTTCTCGTTGTGGTAAAATCTGGCATATTTGTTCGTGTATTCATGGAACATAAAATGCATATGTTGTTATTTGTTAACTTTTAGCTAGAATCTTGAATGTTCACTGCGTGAACAATCTGTTAGAATCTAAATGCAGCTTTTACGTTGTCTTCATATTCAATTTAGTTATGAGTAATGCCGATAAAAGAATCAGCTTCTATTTGCATTTCCGCATTTCCAAGCTTACGAAAATCATGTGTTTTTTCCTTTGGAGAAACCGAAAAACGTGTAATTGTCGTTTGATAAACTAAACAAACGAACCTTGCGCCAATTTCTACGATGTCAAATAACTGTTGGTTCTCCTATGAAATCCCCTAGTCACATCAAATCTGCATTCGGATCTTCTCAAATGTGACTTTCACCGCAGATATGTGAAATTTTAAATCTAATCATTGAAATATATTAAAATATATTATTTGATAAAATTTAATAATATTTGTATTAATATAATTTTAACTAATAAGATTTAATTCAGTGAAAATATTTTTCATCGAATCATGCCCAAAATTATTTTTGTTTTGTATCAATTTCGTTGATATTGTTGTATCAATGGTTTCTATTTGGAATTCATTATATTAGTATGATGCATCTTTGTTGAGAACTGCTGATTAGTGATAACTCGATTGGATTAAAAACTGGTTCTTTGTTAAACAAATGAAGAATTTGAAGATGTATATTTCTAATGCACAAATGTTTCAAAATTGTTGTATTCTTACCGTATCCATGATGGATACTGATATAGATATAACATAGTTGCTTCTGTATCAACTCAACTGCTTCATCTTTTAACTTTTGTAAATGCTAGTAAGTGTCTTAGTTAAAGAATTATAATAAAAGTTTTTTTAATATTTAAAAGCGTTATTAATGCACTCTAACTCTGATTTTTAATATTTCAACCTAATTTTCAATAAAGGATAACACTTAGATTAAGTTTCTTATACCCTTGCCATCAAGTTCTCTATTCAACTGTTGACACTTCTTTCTAATAATAAATAACATCTATTAAACATGTCTCGCAGAATTTTAAATAAAAATTAATGTGTCATTATTTATTTAGAAAACAAGATGGCAAGAATGTAAGGAACTTAAACTTAGTTTTGTCCTCTATAAAACAAAAAATCATCTATTGATTTCTTGATAGTATTCATCAGTTAGGTTCTTAAACTTTTTATATATTTTTTTTTCATTAGATATGCAGGAATAGTTATGACTGTAACTATGAATATAATACTTTAAATTCATATGTGGTTAAAATAATGTTTTTAAAATAAACTTTTATAAGAAAATAAAGATAATTTATAATATAATGACAATGATAAATTAACATAAATATCAATTATAATAATTTATATATATATATATATATATATATATATATAAAAGAGAAGAATCTTCTAACATTAGTGTAAATTTAAAAGTTTTTACATTCGATCTTAACATTTCATTTAATTTATATTTAATAATCAGTAAAATAATAAATTATATATTATATATAAATTAAATAAAAAAACTTAAATTTAAATGTAAAAGTTTTTATACTTATGTAATTGTAAAAATATCTTACTAGATATATTTATATAATATCATAATTATACCTTACTTTTTATATATGTCATCGTACCTAATATCTATACCCATCCAACATAGCTACATACTTGCCACAGGTAGGTTGGTGCTGTACTACTGGTATACATAGCTATATACAATCTATCACATTCAACCTTACATCAAACTCTGGACGCAAAAAATACGTATTTTTATAATAATTTTTTACAAAAACAAATTTTCAGTATAATAATTTTCATATATTTTTATTATATTGTTTATTTTATCACTCTCTTTTCTTATTCTTTAACATGTAAAAAAAAAGTTGTACAAAATACAATTAACACTTTTCTTTTCTGGCTAAGCTCGTTTCAGATAGGGGACAACAAATGGGAGATATTTTACACGATAATTATCATTATGTTTGTCTTTATGCAAGATTTTATGTGGTACACTGTAAGGTCGCAGGTCGTATTCTGGTTCTGTTGTATGCAGACAAATATGGTTGATGAGTACGAAGTTTTGTTTTTGTTTTTGTTTTTGTTTTCTTTTGGTATACTATACTATCTTTTGTTACTATCAATTTCTTCTTCTTTTTTTTATCGTGGACAGATTTGTTGTTATGAATATCATGTATTGAGACGTTAAAATACACGTTTAATTTCCACTCGGTGATATTTATTTATAAAGATAAATTATATGGTGTTTTAAAAAATAAAAAAATATTATATACTTTTGTATAAGTAAAATAATTATAACTATTGATTTTAGTGATAAAATTAGTAGTGTATTTGAAAAAAATATAAATATTTTATAATATCTTAATATAATCTAGAGAGAGTATATAATATATCCTCTAATTTTAGAGCACCGTAACAAGTATTATTTATAAATTAGTTTTTATATAAGGAATTATATTGTAATTTTTAAATTAAATATTTTATTGTGTTTCAGTTTTAATTATTTGAATACTCTTTATAAAAATTATTTATTAAATTACATATTTTAATGGTGTGACATTTCACTTAATACATTTTTACTTTGAATTCATTACGCTAATAGATTTTCTTTGCTTGTTAGAAAGAATAGTAAACCCAAATGTTGTGCAAGCTTAGAAGCTAAATTGTTAAGATCGTGATGTTTAATTTTACGATTAAACGAAGTTGGTTATTTAGTGATGTAGCTCATGTACAAGTTATGTTTAACTTGTCGTAGAGATAATTATTCCATGAAAATAATTAAACTTGTTAATACCAAATTATTACTAATAGTATGAAATTTTAGTAAATTATTAAATCTGGGAAATGTAGAATTTTTAAAAGATCTTCATTTTTTAATTCTATATAAAAGGAAGTGTTCTTATTTTTCACTTTGTCTCTGGGACCCCTATATGAAAGGTGCAAGAGTTAAGTACTTGTTTGGATTCATGGGAAATATGTTTCGTTATTTCTTGCCTACATTTATGTCGTTCTAAAAAAATCTTGGCAATGTTGTAATTAGGATCACATGATCTTGTAATTAAATCAATCTTGAATTTAATATTTTTAATGTAAAAACAATATAAATAAAATTAACATTGTTACTAAAAGATGAGTTGTCAAATTATTTGATGAACATACATCGAATTTATTAAACAAGGTAATGATACGTCATCAAATGACATTGTAACTTTTTTTTGGTCAATTTTTTCAACATCAAATCTTGGAACTAATTTTAAGCATTTAAAATAAGTAAATTTCTATTTAAGAAAAGTATAAAAAATTAATAAAATTATATTTTTTTCTAATTTTAAATACTGATGTTAATATTTTTTTATAAGTTTCGTTAAAATTAAACTCCCAATCTCCACCATGCATGAATAAATAAACTTCTAATATCATTAATGAGTGATGCATAAAATAAATAAAACATCTTTTATTTTCTCCCATTTAATTCAGACTTGAGACCAAGATATCCTAAATTCTCAACTTTCGCTATCAGTTGGTATTGTCGGCAATAAGATTGTTTTCACCAACTAATTAATTAATCTATAATCGTTAATGTGCTGCCACGACTTTGCTTTCTTTTAATTTTGGGTAAAATCAGAAGCTCAAAGCCCAAAAAACAGGAAACATACTTTAAAAAAAATGACTTTCAAAGAAAATCACCAACCAAAATCCCTGACTGGCCCAAATGAGAAAGACAATCAGCAGCAATGTGAATATCTATTTTTCAATTTTCTTTTACTTTTCTTTAGTTTTTGATATCTATATTCATATTTTTTATTAGACATTTACAATTACTAAAAAATATTAAAATGGTAAAATAAGAAATAGCTAGGATAAAAAGTAAAATAAAAGTTGTTAGGTCAATAAGAAAAAGAAAGATGAAATAATATAATGTTGATATTATCTGCTGCAAATTGATATTAGTAACCACTTTTGAAAATTCACTTCACATTAATAGAAAGACGAAAGAGGAGGAGAAAAAATTAGGTGAATAAAGAGCTAAGAAAAATCTTTAGAAATGCATACATAAGAAATATATTAAATGGAAATTTTTTATGTGAAAATAAAAAAAATATAACTATTAGATTTTATTATAAACAATCAATATTAAAACATAAAATAATTATATATAATGATAATGATTATTATTATTATTACATAAATAATATTTTAATTAGAAGTGGTTTAAGAAAGCCAAGTGAAGTACTCAATCATCTGGTTTGTGAGATTTTCTCATGATATTGGTCCAGTGGTTACCTACGCAAATCACATGACAATTAAGCGACCATTTAGAATTTTCACTAAGATTCACTGTTTTGCAAAGTTGTGTTATTTTTAATGTTAGAGTAGACTTTTGAAAATACAACTTAATGACTTATCTCATTATATATCAGATTTTCTTAAAACTAACAAAAATACACACTTTGTGTAAAATGTTTTTTACAAATTATTAAATATTCAATAAATTGGAAATAATATATTATATCATTTTTTTTAATAATATGCTGTATTAAGCCTCTCAAACAATCACACTTGGATTCCTTATTGTTGTTGTTTGTTCATTTAAATAAGATTCGGTAATAGTCACGTGAACAAATAACCAAACCGTGTGGTAATATAATCGCGGAGCTGCCCAAAAAGAATCTGATATGAGTAAAATTTATAATTATACATGTAAATTTAAGCAAAAATACAAATACAAATTAAAATTATTTAACACTAAAAAAATTGTATAATTAATACAACTATAAAAAATTTATTACAAAGTAAAAAAAACAACACTTGAAACTCTCAAAAAGTTGTTTTTTTTAAGAGGAAAGCAAAAAACAAATAAAAGACAAAAAATTATAATATTAAATATAGAACTTCTTTTGCATTAGTTTGAAAGAGTGATTTTAAGTTTGTAGGAGCAAAAAATTAATCTTTGAAACAACAATCTTAAAGAGCTCATATTTTAGCTAAAAAATTTATACATACATTACTTTTACACATAATGGGTTGGTAATTTGTCAGCATTTTTTCAATCAATTTTCTTATATTTTAAATGAGATTAGTATGCTTATGAAAAAGTAAAATAATTTTTATCACACAATTTATAACTTGCATAAAAATAATAATGAAATGTTTTAATATTTATATTAAAACGTTAAATTTAAAGCACAATCATTTAATAAGTTTATCGAAGTGTAATTTAATATGAAAAAGTAAATATAAACTCAATAGTAAATCATGTATAATAATAAAATGCTATTTATTTTGAATATATTTAGTAAAAAGTATTATGAATGAACTTTTAATTAATAAGAAAAATAAGTATATAAATAGAGAGATTAAAAGTTAAAATAAGAGTTGTCTTGTAATACGAAATATATTATCTCAGTTGCCATACATTTCATGATTCTAACTTTTCAGTCCTTTTTATTTTAGGAATATAATAACATGTATATGATGAGAGTGAAAAAGTTCTTTTACATAAACATGTGCGGTATTAACATTTTTATTTTTATTTTTTGCCATTAGTATGCGACTTTTCAGTCAACAAAGACAACGGAAGCTAATATTTTAAAGGTAAAAAAAAAGAAAAAAGAAAAACCAGAAACAACTAGCATATTTTGAAGTTTATCCATAACAATAAACAAATTTATATTAGAAACAACAAAAATTAAATAATAAATTAAAAAGGAAAAAGGAAATTAATATAATAATTAGAAAAAAAGAAAGAAATAACTACCATATTTTCATGTTTGTCCATAGGATACGACCTGTACTTTTTAATTTTAATAATTATAAAAATATATTTTATATAAATTTTTTAAAATATTTTATATTATAAACAATGTCTAATTAAGAGAAAAAAAAAAAAGAGAATACGGTGTCATTTGTTAAGGATAGAATAAATTTAAGCAAAATTATGAAAAATATATATTCAATATTATTTAATATATAAAGGTGGATGTGTATAAGCACATACACACACACAATAATTATTTTATTCATAGAATGTGCAAATGATTACAGTGAATAAGTGTGTGTGTGTGTATATATATATATATATATATATATATGGGGTATGTTTGTTATTTATTGAAACAATATTCTACCCTTGGCGTTGAAATATACACAGCTTTTAAGCAAACAGAGATAAGGAAAATTATTTATTTAAAAAGGTGAAAAAACGAAGTAGCCGCCACATGTTCAATTTCGGCCATAAAATACGACTAAAAATTAAATAATTATTGTTTTAATTGGGTAAAAAATAAAGAATTTATTGATGAATTTTTTTAGTAATTTTTAATACTTTCATTGGATAATTAGATAACTACTGAATACGTAAATTAATTTATACAAAATCAAAAATTATATCAACTTGACTTATAGTCTTGAGTTTAAGTTTCTAAATTTAATAAAGGAGACTTAGCAAAATTACAAAATTATGTGTAAATCTTTAATATTTTTTTCCCTTAAATGAAATTATGGTTCTGCTCCTGAAAGAGCTAATCGTTCATCAACTATATTTATATATGGGTATGAATATCAAACTCACATCCATACCTATAAAATCTTATGAGTTTATTCGTACTCGATTTTATGGTGTAGAAATCACAGGAGTAGACTTGACCACTCCCACCAATCCTCTTCATACATAAAACTATGAATTCAACGATGATTAACACATTAGACTTAATTATTTATAAATTATGTCTAACTTCATTGATGACCCAAATTCATTTCATGATTAAAAATACTATCCACTTCCACTGATTTTTACAGGTACGTATTTTGTGTTCGATTTTATCCACAGTTTAAAGATATTTAAATTGGCACTAATTTTTAAATATTTCTTCTTATTTCTTTTATAAAAATAATTATGAGTATTTTTTATTACAGTTATAAAAAATAGAAACTTATCTTTAAATACATTAATGACTAATTCTTTTATACTTTTATTATAAAATTTGTATTAATGACATAACGAATCACCTTTATAAGTAAATATATTGATTCAAAATATGAAATATTAGTTCAAAAGATCCCTACTACTTTTTATTAATTTTGATAATTTAAATTTTTTATATAAAAGAAAGACAAAAAATATTATTTTATCTGTCTAAATAATAAGTATCTTTCATGAAAAATATTCATATTCTTATAGACGATAAGTTTTTTTAAAAAATATTAATTTTAATTTTATTTCTTAATAAAGAAATTAAAATATTTGTTATGAATTTAATGAAGTTTTCTAGACACCCTTGAATAAGTTATATACATGTATTTATATAAGCTAAAATTATATGGCTCCCTAAAACACGTGCAAGACTTACAAGTTTGCATGGTTAAACTTAGACATGATACGATCCTGAGTCTTGATAAATCGATAAATGTGTGTTCCTGCAAATTCCAGGAAATATAATGTAATTAGTTATATTACACAATCACAAAACAAAGATTCATAGTTTCAATTTGACACACACAATGAAATGAAATACTTGTGAACAAATTTATAATAAAACCAAACAAACATAATCTAATTAATATTATACTAACAGTAAAGGCAAGCATTCTCTTAACACTGCACTCCATTCAAAGGGGAATCAAAGATCCTAAACTGAAATTAGATACATTATTTGTATTTTAAAGCGTTTCATAATCGACTAATAACGACAACTAAACATACTCACGCTGAGAAATTCAGTAATGGGAACAACACTCCTCTGAAAAAAGGGATAATTAAAAAAAGTAATGTAATTTAAATAAAAAGAAAAAAGAAAAAAGAAAAGACTGGATGCAATGTTAGAGAGTGAAAGAGAGAGGGGGTAGGTGTGGGATTGACCGAACCTCCTCCTTCACGCACACACCATCACCTCAAAGACTTGTCTGTTCCATTTACTCTTCAAATTGCATAACCACCAACTAATATATAAACCCTTTAACCCCTCACTTTCTTCTCTCAGCTTGAGGTTCCCTTCTTCAAGCTTAGAGACACGTAGAGAGACCCAGCAAGCAAATTCAATAACCTAATTCATTTCCCATTTCAACACCTTTGATTCTTGTTAATTCCAATTAAGTCCAAATAATATGCAGACCCTCACTCAACCCTATTCCTTCAACTATCTCAACCGGGCGCGTAACCCAACCATTCGACCTGCCCCGACCCGAATTGTCGTCAAATGCGGTTACGGGTTCGAATCCGCGGGTTTCTCGCAAGGATTCGGCTCAAGCCGAGCCGATTGGCAAAGCTCGTGCGCCATCTTAGCTAGTAAAGTCGTTTCGCAGCAGGAAGATTCTCCCGCCGGCGAAACACACAGCGGCGCAGACGTCGGCACCGTCAACGGCCACAAAACCTCCGTAACGGATCTCAATCTCGTGCCTATTAATATCAGCGGTAACGACAACAAGCCGGTTCTGCCGACCCCGCTCACCATCTCCGACCTCTCGCCGGCGCCGATGCACGGCTCGCAATTGCGCGTGGCGTATCAAGGCGTTCCCGGCGCGTACTCCGAGGCCGCCGCCGGCAAGGCGTATCCTAACAGCCAAGCCATTCCGTGCGACCAGTTCGAGGTGGCGTTTCAGGCGGTGGAGCTCTGGATCGCCGATCGAGCCGTTCTCCCGGTGGAAAACTCCCTCGGCGGCTCGATCCACCGGAACTACGACCTCCTCCTCCGGCACCGACTCCACATCGTCGGCGAAGTCCAGCTCCCGGTGCACCACTGCCTCCTCGCTCTCCCCGGCGTCCGCAAGGAGTTCCTCACGCGCGTGATTTCGCATCCGCAAGCCCTAGCACAGTGCGAACACTCGCTCACGAAACTCGGTCTCAACGCGGCACGCGAGGCCGTCGACGACACCGCCGGCGCCGCCGAGTACGTGGCCGCGAACAAACTCCTCGACACGGCGGCAATCGCTAGCGCACGCGCGGCGGAGCTCTATGGGCTTCAGGTTCTGGCGGATGGGATCCAAGACGACCCGAATAACGTGACCCGATTCGTTATGTTGGCCCGAGAACCCATTATTCCGCGCACGGATCGGCCGTTTAAAACGAGCATCGTGTTCGCGCACGATAAGGGAACTTCGGTTTTGTTTAAAGTGCTTTCGGCGTTTGCGTTTAGGAACATTAGCCTTACGAAGATCGAGTCGAGGCCTCATCGTAACCGTCCGATTCGGGTCGTTGATGATGAAAGCGAGGGAACCGCTAAGCACTTCGAGTACATATTTTATATTGATTTTGAGGCTTCTATGGCTGAGGTTAGGGCACAGAACGCACTTGCTGAGGTGCAAGAATTCACCTCTTTCTTGCGAGTTTTGGGCAGTTACCCTATGGATATGACACCGTGGAATCCTTCTTGTTAATTTTTAATCTGCATTATCTTATCCTTCATTCTCGTATTTTATTAATTTGTGAACAAAATTGAACATATCGTTTCAATTCCCTTTTACGGTATATATTTTCTTCTTTGGATTTGGTTGCTTCAGATTTTTAGTTCACTTTTTTTTTTCTCCAAGTTTTCATAGGAATAGAATTTGTTACAGAAGGGGGTTGTTGGGTTATTCAAGAGAGGGTATGTACATTGTACTTTAGAGTGGGTATTGCAGATTTTGATCACAAAATGGTGTTAATGTTTCGTGGCTTGATAAATATGTTTTTCAGTTACTATGTTTTCAAACAAAACAAATGCGCGTGGAGTGATACAATAACAATAAAAAGAGAATCATCGGTTAGAAAAAAGAAAAGAAACTTACACGTTAGTTGTTGATCTGTGACGTGACGGATATTTTATGTTTGTAAGTTTCTGCACGTGTGAAAGGTGCGGAGGGTATCAAGATTCTCCATAGTTCAAGAGCTGTGAAGTTCTCAATATCATCCTTTATTTCTTCAAATTATAATTTTACGATCTGAAATGTTCTTTTATAGATAACTTCATTTATTTAATCTTTTGTAATTTTTTATTTAATAATATTTTATTTGTTTTAAAAAATAAATAAAATTAATCACACAAAAATAAGTATTATTATTAAAAAATACTTTAAAAAAATTCAATGCAGGGAAAGGATAGTATTAGAGTTGGCATGTCACTGGATATATATTTTTATATCTATTTTCAGCTCCAAGCTTTATCTTACAGTTCGTGTCTGAATTTTTTATTCACCAATGATCGTGCAAGTATATATTATTTCATCTTAAAAGTTATATAAGAAATAGTAAAAACATTAAAATGTGCTCTTTACTATCTTTGTATAATTTAATAAAAATAAAGAACTCTAATATATTTTTCTGGTGTTTTGTCAGGAAAATTTTATTTCTCTGACTTCCTAATGTTATTGAACCTAAACTTCACGTGAAAGTGAACTTTTCAGCCAAGGTCTTTTGCACACGGCCTCTTAAGTTATTATGGTCTTCAAATATACAAGTCTACTAAAATTGTTTTAATTTTTTTTTCTTAATTACTAGAAAATAGTTCTAAATATTGACTGTCGCGTATTTTTCTCTATTCCATTTGGATGTTATTATTAAAAATAATAAAGTAGTTTAATTTTTGTGTGTTTTATTTTGTAAAATATAATTGTATTATGGTATTTGAAATATTAAAAATGTCACTTTATTTTATTTTAAAAAATTTGGATCAGAAAACTCAATTTTCTGATATGTTCAATATGATAATATTATATTGAAAGGTAAATAATACATCTTGGAATCTATATATATATATATATATGCCCTTTTATATATATTTTCTACCTGTTACTGCTAAAATTGTTATGGTCTCTGCTCAAAGCTTGACTGAGACAATGATGAAAAAAGCAAAGAAATAATTATTATTGTTATTTCCTGAATTAGGTTGAGGCCAAGTCGGTTCAAAAGTTTGGTATACTAATTAAATTTATCTTAGAAGTTGAACACTGGAGATAAAGGGTTGTGTATGGACCCTCCAGCTTGAGTAGGGCAATAGTTATGTAAAGCTAACATGGTGATGCCCCACTCGATTGTACGTACACAGACAAGTTGTAGGAGACATGCAAGTTGCCCAATTATTGAAGACATTGACATACGAGAGAATCCCCAGTTAAGCCAATCCTGTTACTGTGCCTGGAACCCACTACTATTCCAGCTTAATACTTCACTCACTCACTCACTGGCTGCTATAATAGTAATAATAATAATAATAATAATAATTTTATATATTTTTTTATCTTTCTATTTTCATTTTTGTTTCTTCTTCTTAATTTCATTTTTTTTCTATCACATCATTCATTGTGGTTTTTATTTTCTATTTCATTTTAATCTTTTTCTTTCGATGCTTGTCTTCCTTAATTATATTCAAACAACACTCTCCTTCAGGGATGTCATAATATAATCTCCCGTAAAATAGTGTCGATCTACTGAAAGAGATAAGAAGGATGATAAAAAAAACGAACATATATAATAAATGATGTGATATAAAAAAAATAAAAAACATTAAATAAATGTTAATATTAATAAAATAATTATAAATCAAACTAAACTATCAACATCATTCGGGGATATAAATGCATGTTTAAAAAATTACTTTATTTAAAAAGTATTTTAAAATTTCTAAATATAATAACAAAACAATTTGTGCTAGAAACTCACCTTATCCTACTTATAATAAATAAATATATAATTTATGAAGACCAACCAATGCTGCAAAATGGAATGATTGTCCATTTTAGTAGTTTTTTTTTAATATTCACTATTTTTTTCTAAAAGTATGGGTATCTTTTTATGAAAGTTAATCATGTTTAATTTCAATTGAGATCGTTTATTGTATAATGAAACTAATTCTTTTAACAAAAAAACTTATATATAAGACTTGAACTTAAAAGTTCATCTAAATAAAACTTAATATATATCAGCTAAATTAATTATTCATTAGTTATCATGATATTATATTTTGATCGTTTATTTGTTGACAACATTTGATTCGTTGTTCAATAAAATTTCAATATTTTAATTTTTTTTTACATATTTAATCAACAAAAACTGAATGAAGTAAATCGGTATTTAAAAAATAAATTAACATATTTTTAAATGAAAGCATCAACTTGATAAAAAAAGTACAATTTTAGCGATACAAGAGAGGACATTAAATAGCATGATCGTTGTCTTTCAATAATAGATCCTAAGTATAAAAGGACACTGTAGTATAAAGCCTGAGGAAACTTTCCTAAAGCACTAAATACTCATTATTAATAAAGTTAGGTTTAGTAAAAGAATTAGTTCATTAAAGGTAAATTACAAAATAAATTTCGATTGAAAGAAATGTTTATATTTTATGTCTGACTATATTTCTAATAGAATTATCTTAATAAAAATATTCATAGGAAACTAAAAAATATTACAAAGTCAAAACCTAAGAGCATAAAGACTTGTCTTTCGTTGGTTGGTCATTTGTAACCTACCAATTTGAATTTTTTTATCCACGCTTTCGAAACTACTTTAAAAACCTGCCATTTTTTAACTCATTAATATTGACATGAAAATCTAATATTATTTTGTATTATTATTTTTTCAATTATATATGACGGTAGGCATAAAAAGAAAACTAGTTATGAAAATTCTATTTAACTGTTCAACAGGAGACATTTTAGAATTTATAGTCACGTTCAATACGTACCGGTATCTAAAAAGGAATATTTCGTTCTTTAATTTAAATTTTATTTTCATCGTATCAATTTCCATGTTATATTATCTGTATTATAAAATAAGTAAATAAATAGTTTATAGTTTATATTTATTAACTTATTAAAACAGTTGACATTATTTAATCCTTCAATTGTTAAGATGATTCTTTATATATAAGTAAAATGGGAATAATTTATTCCTTTAATTATGTATTTATTTTTTGGAATGTACTATGTTTTAAGGATATGCCTTAAGCAATAAAAATCATATTATTCACAAAAAAATTTAATCAATAAAATAAGAAAATATTAAAAAAAATTATTTTTTAAATATTAAATACTTTCACTTTTCATATTTTGTTTGTTTGTTTTCTTAATCTGTGTTCCACAGACACATGACAACAAAATACTTAAAAAAATTAAAATCAATTTTAATCTCTCAATCATTAAAAGCTAATATAAACTTGAACTTTTCATTAATCTCATGGTATCCACATACAAAACAGTGATTAATTTGATGCGATTTCTGAAACTGGAGTACTAAATTAATGTTAACTTTGAAAAACTAAGTTAACGTTAATAGTAATTTAGAGACTAAATTAATTGTTTACTCTGTTGTTAATTTGTAATATATGCGGCGTTCCATGTTGTAACAAGTTTTATTTACTGATATATCTTGATTCAAACATTAGATTAATCAAATAATAAAATAATCGAGTAACCCATACCCTACCGTTCTAACGTTAGAATTTACAAACTCATTACAGTAATTTTTAGCAGTTTTTTTTCTTCATACGAATGACAGTATAAAAAAATGCCATTTTGAGATTGCATATTGTGATGATTCAATTCAAACTATCATAATTTGTGTATAGATATTGAATGGTAGACAATAGTGTGGCAATATTTTTTTAAAGGGAGTCATCAAGTTTTGTTGTAATAAACTAATAGTTGAAGGGTAATGATTAAGAATGCAATAAATATAAGAGAGAAGATAGTGTTATTGTTTTTTTCTTGGGCGGCAGGGTGGGTTGAGAATGAGGGTTTGGTGAGGAAGAGGGGGCATGATGATGAAAAGGGTGTGCGTGTAGTGGTAGGTGAGGATGTGCTTTGTTATGTTCATTGTTAGCTTAATTATAATTATATGATTTTTTGGTTGATAAGCATTGATGCTTCCATTACCACTAGCTTACGTATCCATTCAACGCCCTCTTCTTGGTTCCCCTTCTCCATTCAGTTTGAGAAATTATATTTTATAATAATAAAATTATTATTATAAAAATTCGTTACACAAATAATATTACTCATTCACTTTTAACTAGTTCTCTTTCTTCTTCGCTCGTGTTCATGCAATGCGTGGACAATTGATAGATAATTAGTGAATATATATTGTTGAAAATTGAGTTGATCTATTCAAATGAACAATCATGCTCTACTTACATAATTGACATTTGTTTATGATTTCATTGAAGGCCGTGAACATGGTTAGATTTTTAAGTCTATGGTATTAACTCAAATTATCAACTCAATTAATGGTTAAAATTTTTAATGAGCTGGTTGATAAAAGCCAACGTCAGTGTGCTAGAATATCCTTGTTTTTTCAATTTATTTGGTTTAGTGAATAAGTTACTAATTAAAAATCATAATACTGTTTTGTAACGTTAATATAATTTGTTTTAAAAAGAGTTTCAAGGAAAAATTTGAAAAGAAGTGGCGTGTCAAAAGTATACACCAAATTAAACTCTAATCTGTCAAATATACGAAATTATATATGCTATCATTTTCTTTAGTAATATTTAATGTATTATAAAAAATCGCTACATTAATAGTTTGATACTTTAATTATATGTGTGTGTGTGTGTGTAGAAATAAAAGTCATAAATAGATAAGGTTTCAAAAAATAAATTAAAATAAAGCTTCATATTCAAGGCATTTGCATCTGAAAGTAATACAAAGTGAGGTCATATGCTTCAACCAATATTAATTTCTCTTGGTACGTTTCTTTTATGGTGCAATTCCTCTTAGTAAATTAGTTTCCTTCTTCGCATAAAAGTCAAATCATTGTAGAGTTAGATTTATTGTGAATAGCTAGTAATTAAGATATTTATTATTGCACCATTTTCAGAATATATTTTCTATAGTATTCGATGAATTATACGTGGGCAGCTTGTTGAATATTATAAGTCATGTGACTAATTAAATAGGTAGCTAGTGAGATCCTTATTATTTGAAGGGATTTCTATAAGTAAATTAAAAAATATACTATAATTTTTACACACCACATATTATGTGAAATTATTGTTACTATTTTTCATATGAAATAATCTATATAAAACGAATACTCGTTCTCAATCATATGGAAAATGTCAGATCTAATTCTGAATTAGTTTAATCTTTCTAACAAGTAATCATAGCTTTCTCTAGGAATGGAAAAATTTTCTCCTCCATGGAGTTCTCGTAAGGTGCAACGTCAAATAGAGTTGGAAATAATAGTATTTGGTAATGATAATAACATGATGGTTGTGATAGTTACCTGAGGAACTATTAAAACGTTAACGGTGAAAAGGGATTGGTAGGAACTAAGTGTAACGATGTTTGGTGTGTAATCTATGCTGATACTTTATCTTACCCCTTAACTTTATCGAATAGTGTTATTTCCAATAAAGGGAATATAAAAGTTTCATGCTTGCCAATGGTGTCTCTGCTAAATGGCGAGGGTTATCGTATCTCAACCATTAGCCATTAGGTATATGAAAAGCTTTCAACAACCCTTGAAAACTCTCAATTGGGACAACCGAATCACTTTGATAAAGAACGTAGACCCTGCAATGGGGAACAAGATGGGAATCTTCCTCGCATTCACACTCAAATATGAAAACTAATATAATATAAAATTAAGATTCGAGTGTAAAAACTTATATTATTAAATTAATTTATCAACATTAAGATTTCATTATATTGATATTTGAAAAAATTACCTGTTAAATTAGCATCCCAGAAGTTTAAAATTATCGCTACATGTGTGTCTTGTATATATTTAATTAGGTCATGTTTTAATTAATGAAAAGTGATAAAGTAAAATAAAATAATATTGAATTTCATTACTTAAAATATTTAAAATACAATATTCCATTTCATTTATCGATCAAAATTGATTCAAATAGCACATGATTGGTTTTCCTTAAATAAGGTCTCACATGTTCCAATTTTATATAATTAAAAAAAATCCATTTTGAGAATTAGTTTAACTGTGTTGAGAATATTTCCTCCTGTAAAGAAATAAGTTCATTATATATAAATTTCCAGTTTCAATATTATTATTGTGATTCTTTTATCTTGATTTCTCTAACTTTTTTGTTTTTACTTTCACTTGTTTAAATAGTTAAAAAAATAGTGGTTAGGATTGAACACGTGAAACATGTTATTAGAGATGTTTGTCTTTAAGGAAAATGTACCACTTAGAAGGACACCTAAAGATATTTTCTTATATTTTAAATATCTTTTGAAAATGTATATATAATTGATTTTTAATGATTTAAATAACTGAAGTGTTAACTTTATAGTACAAAACGGTGATCAAACTTGTTTCCATTGCCACCCCACCATATATGAACCAGAAGATTGTATGTAATTTAAAATTCAAAATCATTCAATTTAATTAAAAATTTGATATTTATAATTTTATTTTTTATTTTTAATTAATTTAACTTTGTATTTTGTATTCAAAATTTACAGTTTATATTAAATTGAATCAGTTCATAAATGCACAAAAAATATTCAATAAATGCTTTTTATTGGACTTTGCACAAATTTAGAATTCTTGCAAAATGAAAAGACAACTGTAGAACTTTAATTTTGCAGGTATGCAAACCAACTGGAAATTAATAAGTCATGGTGTTTGGTTGGTTTGTAGTTGTTTTGATTTGTAATTTGTAACTATGAAAATGATTAAGATAAGTAGCTAATGGAATGAGGCATGAAGATAAAGTAATGGTTCTTGTTGTGTTTCATTGATAAGTGGACAAATGTATATGTGACTTCATAAATATAAGACAAAAATTTAGGAGTAGGAAGTTTTCAATATTTAGGAATCAACTTGAGCTATCTTTTTCTTTTCTATATTATCACTTTTAACCATTTTTGTTCTTTACCAGACCTGTCAAGCCCTTTATTGGTCTTCTTGAGAGTAGCCCAATACCAATGTCGATTCATAGGCCCAATATTGTATGGTGTGATTCTAGATTCAATGCTACAGATAAATTAAGCTAGATGATGCAACAATTAAATCATGTATTAAAAATATTTTTTTACTTGAGCGTATTGTAATAAAGTGATGCAAGAGTCTTTTATATTGAAGAGTCATTCACTGTTTTTTCATTTTAATGTCCAAATCAACCAAAGCATAAACAAAAATTAGTTTAAAGAACAAATTTATAATATTTTTTTACAAACTCAAGTAAACTATCAACTATTTTCAACATTTTGCACGTCAAATGAGTTTTCAAAAGAAGTATCGATTAACAATAACAAAAATAATTATAATGACAATGACAAATTTAAAAGATAGCATGGTAGTTAAATCTTAAATCCAAACATGTCATACTTTTTAATTTAAAAATTAATAAACGATTGGACGAAATTAGTCATCTACTGAAGTCTCTAATTGTCTTCAAGAAAGGTTAATTCCGGAAACACGTGACATTTCTTTCATTTAATTTGAAACATATAGTTTTTTTTTTATAGTAATTTTGAAACATTTATTATTTGAAAAATGTGTTATGATCAATGGAAGAGTGGTGAAGAGAGAGATGTTTGTGGGACTGAGAAGTTCCGAAAACAGAAGAATACGTAAGAGAAGATGTGGGAGAAGCGTTCTCATCTGCACCTTCTCCGTTTCCGCTTATCAAACCACAAACTATCGCTTCCACGTCACGCCGTCACCGTCGCCGACGGACTCCAACACCCATCAGCGCCGGAAGGCGCCGCCATAGCCAAATTAGTCCTCGAATCGGACCCCCAATCCCTCTACCAAGCCCTAGCAAAGCCCACTCTCCACTGGACACCAGGCCTGGTGGACAAGGTCCTTAAACGCCTCTGGAACCACGGGCCCAAAGCCCTACAATTCTTCAAACACCTCGACCGCCACCCAACTTATGTCCACTCTTCTTCCGCCTTCCACCACGCCATCGACATCGCCGCCCGCATGCGCGAATACAATACTGCCTGGGCCTTCCTCGGCCGAATGCGCTCCCTCCGTCTCGGCCCAACTCCCCGAACCTTCGCCATCATCGCCGAGCGCTACGTCGCCGGAGGAAAAGCCCACCGCGCCGTGAAAGTCTTCTTATCCATGCACGAACACGGTTGCCGCCAAGATCTGAACTCGTTCAACACGTTGCTCGACGTTCTATGTAAATCGAAACGCGTGGAAATGGCTCACAACTTGTTCAACATTCTCAAACGCAAGTTCAAAGCCGATAGCGTAAGTTACAACATAATTGCGAATGGTTATTGTTTGATTAAGCGAACTCCAATGGCGTTGAAGGTGATGAAGGAAATGGTGGAGAGAGGAATTAACCCTACGATGGTTACGTATAACACGTTGTTGAAAGGGTATTTTAGGAGCAATCAGGTCAAGGAAGCTTGGGAATTCTATTTGGAGATGAAGAAGAGGAAGTGTGAAATTGATGTTGTGACTTACACTACAATGGTGCATGGGTTTGGTGTTGTGGGTGAGGTCAAGAAATCTCGTAGGGTTTTTGATGAGATGGTGAAAGAGGGTGTGGTTCCTTCGGTTGCCACGTATAATGCATTGATTCAGGTTTTGTGTAAGAAGGATAGTGTGGTGAATGCGGTGTTGGTTTTTGAGGAGATGGTGAAGAAGGGGTGCGAGCCTAATTTGATTAGTTACAATGTTGTTATACGAGGTTTCTGTCATGTTGGTGATATGGAGAGGGCGTTGGAGTTTATGGGGAGAATGGAGGAATGTGGGTTGTGGCCTAGTGTTCAGACTTATAATGTTGTGATTCGGTACTTTTGTGATGCTGGGGAGATTGAGAAGGGTTTGGAGATGTTTGCGAAGATGGGGAATGGGTCGTGTTTGCCTAATTTGGACACTTATAATGTTCTGATTAGTGCCATGTTTGTGAGGAAGAAATCAGAGGATGTAGTGGTGGCTGGGAAGTTATTGATAGAGATGATTGATAGAGGGTTCTTGCCGCGGAAGTTTATGTTTAATCAGGTTTTAAATGGACTTGTTCTAACTGGTAATCAAGATTTTGCAAAGGAGATATTGAGAATGCAGGGCAGGTGTGGCCGCGTTCTCCGGCATTTGAAGTTATGAGTCGTCTTGTTGGTGGATTGGGTATGTTGTCATTTCTTCCTTAGCATCATTTAAAGGTTTCAGTTTTTTTCTTCTTAAGATCATTTTGGTCACCATTCACTTTTGTCATCAGTGCTGATATTGGATACTTGAAAGATGAGAACAATCCACATGGTTCTGAACCATTGAAGTTATATGCGCGTTCAATTTGAAACCATGTTCTGCATTCTGTAATTTTAACAAAGATTTTGCTTTCTGCAGAACACTTGTGACAAACCTGCCATAGCTAAAAATTTTGCTTGCAGGAGCTCCTCGTTCAGGTTCATTTTAATGTTCCATTTTTATGTTCTTGCATTAATCTTATGGTGCTGAAACTGCATGTTTACTTCAAGTTTCGTTGATTCTCAGCTTACTGTATTTTGAGATTCAACGTGTTATGGTTTTGATTACAAGCATTTTCTCCCTTCTCCCTGTTCCTTGGATGTGTATAGAAGGGCCATTAACTCTGTTATATGGCTTGTTGGATGTTACTTATAATAATTTCAGAAAATCAATTTCTGAAAGTGTTGATATGCTCACTGCCATGGGCACTTGCAAAACAGACATTGATTTGATTTGCAGTTAAGGAGCTGACCCTATAGTCATCCTGTATCTACGAGTTATATTTCAATTAATATTTTAGCTGGTGGAGGTGGTAGGTGCCCCATTTGTTATGAGGTTTGCTAGTCATGAAATTCCATCAACTTTAATGATGTCATGTTTTTAGAAAGCAGAAAAGTTTACAAGTTTATAATTGTGTTGTTATTGTTCTTAAAAACGCTGCATAAGGAGAGAGGAGTAGGACATGTCTCGAGATGCTTGAGAAGCCATATATGCCTTAGATGCCATGTCTTGATTGAATTAGGGAGAGAGCAAAACATACTCAGATAATGATAAACTTCGGTAGGCAATGAATTCTCATTAACTTAGAAGACATGGAGTGAGTTCTTATTAAATTTAGTTATGCTTAAACTTAGAAGTTGTTTTGAGTGATTTACTTTAGTTAGCAGTCTTATTTTTTGTTGTTTTGGCATGAAAAGTGATGTTTGAGACTTGAGAGAGCATGTAATATTTCCTAGGAAAAGAAAATGTAATGATAAAAGGATAAATTATCAGGATGATGCAACGGAAGATCAGAGTGTCTCAGTTCCGTCTAGCATACTTTAAATTGTACTGTTGCTTCTCATAAGAGCTTTGGAGATGAATGAACCAGTGGCATCATCCTTCAGATGTTTCTCCACCTTATACAGGATACTTGTAGGTTCTTAAATGCGATAGATAGATATTACTTTCACCTTCCTTTGACAGTTCTCAATTACAACTAGCATTGATCAATAAAGTATTATGTTATTGCCTGTGCAGGGATGAGAACTGACAAGACAATGATGGAGCACTAAACACAATGATCATGCTAATCTTCCTCACCTTCGAATTTAGTCTGCAGTAAAGTAAAAAATATAATATAGGTTTTGAAATCAAAATTTTTTTTTTTAACTTACCAATGTACTATTTGTTACAGAGAAACTATTTTGATGAAACAGGTATGACAAGTTTGTGGAGGGTGATTACAAACTATTCATTATCAATCAGGAGAGAGCCAGTTTGACTTAATCTATTACGATATTTTCCATCATTGCTAGAAGCACGCGTTTAGGAAGAAGCCTCAATCGTTGCTTAATGAAGCCCTTCACTAGCTGCACATCGTTTTCTCTCTCCTTCATTCAATTAATTGGTGTGAGATCTCTTCCAATTGGAAGAAGGATTACATTCTGGCCTTCATGGCTTGATGTTGTATTAGTTTTAGGATTAAGAACATGTGTGATTTATATTTTTCTTCTTGAAAGAGGGTCCAAAGGAATATGGTCATTTTACATGGATATTATCTCTTATTATTAGCCTTGCCTATAAATACCAAATTTATTTGCCAAAACTAGCAAAATTGATATATGTAATTCGTGGTATAATTTGAAATATCATTTTTATGCTTTCTGATATGACCTTGTTTGACCATTTGGAATACATTTTAAATATTAAAATGTTCCGATCATGAAACAATCATTCAAAAAAATATTTTACATTCTTTTTTCTATCACAGTAGGCACGATTTTACAATTCTGAATAAACTTAGAAAATCGTATAATTGATTTTCGAATACATGCATATACTTTTTATTTTGTTTGTACATACAATTCAAATAGGAGTTTTAAAAATTAAGGACTTAACATGAATTTCAATGGAAGGGCAAAAAATGTAATCAAAAGAAAAGATGTTATTCCCCAAAATTACGTCAGGTTGAAACCAAAAGTTACTGTTGAGAGTGGGATTTGAACCCACGCCCTTTCGGACCAGAACCTTAATCTGGCGCCTTAGACCAACTCGGCCATCTCAACTGTATATTATTTCTAAATTATTTACGTAGTTCTTTCTTCTTGGCCAATCGCAATTGAGTAGCAGCATAATCTATAGATAATAGAATTTTAAAGAATTTAATATTATAATTTTGTTTTGGATTTAAATTATACAATATCCAAAAACCTTAGTTTTTTGTCAGCGCGATATCCAAAACCTTAAATCACGAGAATAATTTTTCTTTGGTGGCAACCTTTGTTGGGTTATGTGTGTGTTATTATATCTAACCTAATACAATTAAATAAATTAATGCTAAATTAAATTGATTGAAATGCTTCATAAATACTACTATTGTTCACAGTATGTCCCAAGTTTGATCCTTCTTTCTGCAACTCAGGCTTACATTGGTAATGTGCATCGATGGCTGATGTGCATGCAGGTATGCATTAAATGCCATTCATACATACTTTAGTTGCTTTTTGGATATTATGATTCATACTACATATGGATTCTGTGTACTACTTCATGTCCTTGCTTCTCATCTCACGCACTTGCTTGGTTATCTTTTTAAAAAAAAAAAAAAATACAATGATATCGGTGTTTCCCAAGAGCATCAGGCAAATGACACAAATTCTGAAAGGCTGGAATCTGTGTTGATTGAAGGCAATTCGCACGGAGCATGTACAAATAGCCTTGTCTGACGTGGTACTGTCGTCATTAACCAATGCTACTTTAATCTTCATTCATTTGGATTTAACATTTTGATTTCTTCTTTCATCTTATTGGACATGCTCCTCCCATTCTCCCTATCACCATAACACCACTGAACACATCGTGCCATCACCAATGCTTCACTGCTACCATCAATCTGCTATGTTTAAAATCCACTGTCACACTTAACCATGCTCCTATCGGCTTTATAACGGAGATATCATTTCAAGCCCAAGGCCATGAACAAGACCAACCAAAATCAAAACCAAGACTAAGCCTAAGGCTAAGAACAAGATCAACCATTATCAAGAAACCGATCACAACATCAAGAACAAGATCAAGGCCAAGGCCAACCAAAATCAAGACCAAGACTAAGCCCAAAGCCAAGAACAAGACCAACCATGATCAAGAAACGAAGCACAAAACCAAGGCTAAGATCAAAAACAAGATCAAGACCAAGAGCAAGACAAGAGCCTAGCCCAAGAAACCAAAACCAAGAACAAAAACAAAACTAATACCAAGAACAACTAACCTAAGAGCAAAATCAAGACTAAGACAAGACCAAGACCAAGCTATAGACCAAGGCCAACCAGGACCAAGAACAAGAATAAGAGTAAGATTAAGCCCAAGAACAAGAACAAAACCAAGACCAAAAACAATAATAATAGACTACATTGAAATTTTAAATAAATGAAAGGGATGAAATTTGTAATTTTACCTAATTTTTTTAGGAATAATAATGCATAATGATCAAACAAGAAGGCATGATGGGACTATTTGACAGTTCTGCGAGCTTTTGCATGCTGGTGCCGGCAAATTTTCCAATATCACATGAACATCGATGCGTCCTTACAGAAATTGCAACCATTGAACATTGCAGTTATCTTCATAATGTTCTTCTACAGGAGGGAACCAAGAATCACAAGGGAAGCATGCCATTTCTAAGCTTCCGACATTACTGAGCCAATTTTGCTGTTCTTCTTAAGTTTCTCAACATCTGAGCTATAGCTGGTTCTCTTAGTTCAAAAGGATTGGAATGTAATCCTCAAATGAGCATTGAAACTCCACTTAACAGTTACATTAGCTTGATATCCACCTTCAAAAGAAACGCTCGTTAAATTTGATTTGTCAATCAGGCTGCATAATATTTCCTCGAAATAGACACATAAATAGTACTAGTCATTGATAAGGTGAACAAAATTGCAATGATTAAATCTTAATTGCGTTTCGTTTACTTTAATTTAATAGTGCATTTCTTGATTCATGAGGAGATTTTATGCTGCTCAAGGATTTTACCTCTGGATTAGATAGCCATACTTACCATCTGATTGAGAAATATGATAAGTTAATATGACCCAATTGTTTTCATGACATATACCATCTAGCTTCTGCAAGATTAACAGGGTTCTAAATATTTGTTTTCAATGAAGCTAAAGAATGGTTCCCTTTTTCTGCTATGCCATGTTCTTAAATGTTCCTTAAAACAATACATCACTCCAAAAATATATATTATTGCAAAATTTCATACAACAGAAGAGAAATGATCACATAGCAGATGTGGGAAAGTAATGTGTCAAACTGAGGTGCTTCAGCAAGGTGTATACAACACAAAATGAAAAAAAAAAAATTCAACCTCCAATGTTGCACATTATGGAAGAAGCTTACCCATATTTGGAGTATATATTAGAAGACTTGCATGGATTAATAACCCCCGCCAATAATAAGCTTTTGTTATACAGTAAATATGTACATTTGTAAACATGAAAGTAGCATATAAATGAGACTATATATCTGAGTGGCATTGTTCAAACCAAGTAGAATTCACATACCCAATAGAAATATCTTTTGAATCACTCTATTCTGGTTTCAGTACTCATGTCTCTGCCAGAAAAATGATTCCAAAAATTTAGCAACAACCATTTGAACCTGTGTGTAACTACTAAATGGAATAATAAAGCTTCGAATAAGTGGCAAAATATTTTCTCCTCTGGTACCCAAATACATGAAATTACTTAGTGGTTGCATTAATGCACGACCATTACCAACACAAATCATAGACCTGTTAAATAGGATAAATAACCCAACAAAACATATTTTAAAGTTTATCATAGTCATTTAAAATTCAAACGTAAAAATAGAAGAATATGGCTTGCTTGGCATGATAAAGACAGCCTCTGACAATTTTTTCCTCTTTAGAGGTAAGCTTTGTTGTCCACACGTCATTTGTTGATTCCTTCCCCATGTATCATTACAACCTTCTATATTCAAAGACATCTTCCCCATCTACATTTGTCAAAAGACACAAAAGTAAAATCAATTGTTGTTCATCTTTCATTTGGACAAAAGACTAGATAGGAAAGGAATAAATCACAATTGAGTTTCAACTATAAAGCAAAGATGGTTATCGAACTATAGGTATTATTTTAATTAATGAAAAAACTAACAACATACTTTTTAATGCATTCTTATTAATTCATTCAAAATTACAAAAATTATTTAAATTTCACTTTTTTTGACTTTTTAATACATATTAAATGAAAAGAACATTTACTTTGCATTATTTATATTTAAGTAAATGCATAAATTGGTCCCCAAAGTAAATGCATAAATTCACCAGCCTATGGCAACGCAAACTCAAACAAAAAGCCATCATATCATGGATGCCAAATGTATACTAATTACAGTGCATGTGTTTGGAGATGGCTCTAGCACAGGTTAATTAGAATAGTTCATTAGTATTCACGATAATTAATTGATAAAATCATGTACCTGGCTACACTAATCTCATCCAACCATAAGTTTCCTTGAAAATTCTATATATTTAATGCAATAGAAACATAATTTAGGCTTCAACTAACAATCAATTAATTGCATGGAAACGACAATTGGGACCAACTAACTATATACATTCAAAAGTGGAGTAACAATCAGCTTCACCATTTTCTACAAAACCATGCACTTAGTGAGAAGTGGGAATCTCTTACTATATATGCACGGATCAATCACTATCGGATGAAAAACAAATCAAATTCAGATAACCTGCTCACAATCAATTCATCAACATGATAAGTTAAAGCGCAAATAAAATATGTAGTAGAAAACATTGAGGCTAAGTTTTTTCAATTTTCATCAAGATAGTTCAATCTTGTTTTATCCTCTTATGAATAATTCAAACTATAGCTTATGATTGCTTGTTTTATCATGGAATTATCTAGCAACTTCTGGGAACGAGGATTGCAACAGTAGCAATGAAAATACAACTGATGTGATAATAACTTTTAGTTATTTACTTAGTTTATGTTTGTATTAACGTCCAATACCTAGCCATCTAACTCACTTTCAATACAAAAGCTACACTTGATTTTGTTGAACAATACACACACAACTGTATACCATAAATCAACGCTGAAGCATACTTAAGGAATAACATCAAGGTTCTTCCTTATATAACATTACAGAGTGAAAGAATGACCTAACTCACGTGGGAACTATTGAGTCAATACAATTGAAACGGTGACCTTTTTCTGACTATTGTTGTATGAATCCCATTTTCTGTGATACTCTGACTAATCTCCAGACGTATATTTAATTAATGCATAAACTTCCCAAACTGATTTACGTAAACTTACAATTAATCAAATTAAGACTTTATTTTAGTAAATCCAAATTTGTGTCGTTAAATTACAACTATAAGCGTCGTTAAATTGTTGAAAAATGCTTTCTAAACATTTGTTGAGATGTTTACATCTAAAAGAGATATAAAATCAAATTTTATTATATTCTTCTACGCATATATGTCTTTTTTAAATTTTTTTATTATTTAACAAAAAAGTATTAAATAAAAATGCATGTGCTTATTATAAAAATATAAAAATTATTGAATATTTCATCCATTTAATAATTAAGTGAATTTAAAATTTTTCAAAAGA